AGAAATTGAAAAATTGCTATAAATAATAATAAGACTTTGTTATATCATCAGAGATAAATCTTGAAAATGTATCTAATTGTCTTTCCAAAAAATTTGATGGCCAAAGAATTATCATTCTAAAATGATTAATAGCTTTTAATATCGACGCAAACTTTGTGGCCGTTTCATATTTATTCATAGCTTGTGTACAAGTTTGATACGTCTAAGATTAAGTCAGAATTAATGATGATAATCTATTAGACACGCTTTAGCATTGAAAGAAATTCCATGTCAAAATTAGATACGACGATATTTTTAGAACAAGCGTATTGATAACATCACCGAGTTTTCTCTATTGAAAAATCATTCTTCGACGATAATTCGCTATAATTGATGGAGGTAGATTAGATTATTGGCAGAAAGAGAGAGCGTGTTTCTTTGAAGATTCCTTTTACAAGTTCGTTAGGAAGCCAGACTCGAGTAATGAAAGGCATTCCTCTGTTTAGCGGAGCCTTGAACGCTTTTGCTACATCGGCCGCTCCCTTCCGAAGCATTTATGTTCAACAGATGTCGGGGTAACGACTCGACTCGCGGGGGTAAAGGCAAGAGTAGACAATGTAGAAGGAAGACAAATGTGTCACGAGGGTCGATAACCAGGCTAGAGATCGCCGGCGGAATTTTCTACCCGAGCTTTAACTCGCGGAAAATTTATACTCCAGTGATTCGAAATGTTTTTTTAGTGCCCCCAGCATTATAGTTTTTACGAAGCTAAATCGACGAGAAGAGATAGTCGCAAAAAGTTTTCGCAATATTTTCCTGATGGAGTTAATTATAAGGAGTTTTATAATTAAATGAAAAGATCGTTCGAAAATGACAGCCGTGATTTTCATTAGGATTGTATATTTTGTATCGCAGATTGTTCGAGAAATTTTCGAAGTGAAATTGAACGAGCGGGATATTTCCAATAAAATAAGACACTTTAGTGTACGAAGAGAATTTTCTCTTAGAATTTACTCTGAAAATTATGGTAATCGTGGGACAATATGGTATTGGAAGAATTTTATAAAAGAGAGAGTTTCTCTGACTAATATTTACGATAAAAATATTAATATGCATATATATAGTAAAATTAATCAAACATATTTTATATCTTATTGTGATAGATATTTTATTTTTTATTGTGGTAAAAATATTAATTAGAGAAACTCTTATAAAATTCTTCTAATACCACATATAATTGTCCTACGATTACCATAATTTTCGGGCAAAAATTCTAAGAAAAAAATCTCTCTGTAAATGAACTCTTGGGTCTTTTAATTTGTTCGATATCGCGAGAAAAGAGGAGCAAATTCTGCGTTTAAAATTATTATAATCTAAGATAGATCTGTTTATATCTTTGCAACGCAATTTTCAAGCCACGTCGGTAGTGCACACAGAGTTAGAAGCATTCAATATACATATCTCAGTCTTCTAACAATGAAAATGTGAAAAGCCCGTTAACCCGCTGCTCCTAAGCTAACGACTACATAGCAGCCGACAATGAAGATACAAAAGCGAACCGGCAAACGAATTCTCAATTGGCCATTATCCCGATCATTAGCGATGATTTTCGCTCACAATATCGTTCTAATGAATCGCGCGATAATTAAGCCGAGTCGGGACGCTTGGGAAGAATTTCAACTTTCGCGCGAGAAAGCGTCCTCGCGCGAATCTCGCACGATATTGCGAGAGAGCACAATCGATTTTCTTCGATCAATTCGCGGAGATATGATATTATATCGCGATATCATCGCATATCTGATAATGGTGGGAGATCAAAACTCGACGAATTTTTTTTTTCTTAAGGCTTTCCTCGCCGACTATGTTAGATTATGACGTCACAAACGAGAAAACACACGCTAAACATTTTTAGATAGCATTTTGAAGTAAAGATATTTTGATGAAATATAGCACAATTTTAAAATACCTAGAAACTATCCTTTTTCCTTTATAATCAATCAACAGCTGTAAAATGACTGTAATATGAGACTTCTGTCTGATTTTTGCACATGCGCATTCCACATGACAAAATCTGATACCATAAAGGGTAAAAAAAATAGTCTTCGAGGTATTTTAAGTGTGCTAAAGCCATTTGAAGTATCGTTTCACTGAAATATCTTTTCTCAGAAATATCTTTTCTTTAAAAATGATATCTAAGAATTTTCAGCGTGTGTTCACAGTAGGAAAATTTGTGCTTTCATGTTACAAACGGTCCCCGTTAAATATTTAACACATTCATGTGTTAATTTAATATATTACTGTTATGTTAATTGAACTTAACTGTTAAATTATTAAAACAACTAAAAAAAGATGTAAAAATAACACACAATGTGTATCTATTTTTAATTTTACATAATAAATATATTCTGCTTTATTAGTGACAAGATTTATCTGTTCGTTTACAGAAAAAATGTTAATTTTTTTATTTTACAAGTAGAAATGATAAAATCTAAAATTAATATATTTTTAGTTAATTTTCACATTCAAACTCTATGTCAATTTTACACAAAGTTTATTTAAATTACTTGAAATTTTGCATTTATTTTGTGTTAAAATACCAACACAGTATTTGTGTCTCTATTTAACAAATCCGTATTATATTAAATTAACACAAAAATTTCTGTGGATCGTTTGGAACATATAACATCTGTTAAATTAAACAGAAAATTTTCAACTGTGCTTTCTCGTTTTTTGACCACAATCATGCGGAGAGAATTTAGGAGCCTTAACGAACAGATTGTCACTCGTGTTCGTTTCTTAGGAAACGCGAAACAAGCGCGGATTATAAAACGGAACTTTAAGATCGTTTTCTTGCCGTCTTTCAGAAGCGGAATGCCCCGCTTTCTATGTCAATAAAATCACGGAGCAGAAAGAAATGACCGATCGTTTCAATAAGCCGCAAATGTTCGGAAATCATCAAATTCCCGTAAATTGTCCCATAAAAGACGAACGAGAATCTCGTAAAGTGTGTTACCGATTATTATAACATTTCATGGATATATGTATATATATATATATATATATAATAAATAGTCAAAAATATATATGTATATAAATATAATCCAGCCAGAGAGAAATGTATTGAATTTAATACCAAGATATGGGGTTTCGGAATGCAAAAACACGGTGCACAAGATTAGAGATAGCTTACAATTTTTTTTCCAAACACGGTCGAAGGACATTTGATATTGCAAGAGAAGCATAACAAGTGCATGTTTCCGAAAGCTCTCTATATGAGCTGTCGATATATTTTTACAGTTTTGCTCTTCTCTCTTTCAATCCAAAAACACAGAGGGATAAAAAGACATTCTCATTCACGTGTGTGTACCAATATTTTCCTCAAATTTTTTTTCTCAACTTCGATGTATGTATACTTCGCAATCATAATTTGCGCGTCAAAAAGTTTCGTTGTACACTTTTTCGTCACGATAATCGTCCTTTTATCGACCGGTCGGGGGGGAATAAATTTATTCGCACGAACACGAAAACTTGCTGCTCTTTACCGGGGTACGCCTAGATCGAATACACTGGCTCCAAAAGTTGACAGCAGCCGCCATTTTGAAGCCGATCCGCGCGAAGGCCGTCTTTATGTGCATGCATTTTAATTGTGCGTCGCAGCACGATAATCATCCTCGATGCGATGCGCACTTATAAGCGCGCGCGTTTTTCGTCGTATACGATGGAAATTATCGCGAGGAATGCTCCGATATTATCCTGCAGCGATGGAAGTCCGGACACCCAGATGGTAAGCATACGTCATTTTGACGTCGAGTGACGTCATAGATGTCAAAGTGACAATTTGACGTTTAATGACAGTTTCTCTCTTTTTTCTCGTTTAACTAGCAGCACATCATTTCAGAGAAGAGTTGACAACATTTAAAATTTACTTTCGTACATCGATGACAGTTCGTTCAATTTTTTTAAAGCACACTAATTTCGAATTTATATATTTTGAAATTAATATATATATTTTTTTATTTAAATATATAATTTATATATATAAATAATTTTCGAAGATTATGCACTTTGATAACTTTAGAAGATGTGACGTGTAAGTGAAAACGTAATGTTAAGTGGGACGAAACAAAAATATACCGTGTAAACGTTGGGATTTCTTATAATAGCTTCGTTCGATAACGCTTCAGGCGCGTCGTACATTTATATACGAAATCGAAATCCATTTCCCGTGGCGAGAACCGATCGAGAGAAACAATCACAAACGCGCGCGCGTACGTAAACAGGCCTTTGCACCAGAAACGAGTGCATTCCCCTTCATCCACACCCTGATTTCTGAAGCCGCGCGCGTCTTGGGAAACCCCGGCGACGTAAAAATCACCCTTAACTTCAAATCGGCGGGGAATAATATTTTTACGTTCGGCTCGATATAAAATTACGAATGCCGATGAAGACACACTAAGATTTAAATCGCTAGGCAATTCGCGAGTTTAATTCACGAGAATGGAACTGTTGACAGAGGAGACGACACAGGGAATATTTTTCGATCGCGTTATGTAACATTGATATGAAAACTACGAGGAATCTTCATCTCTCTCTCTCTCTCTCAGTTCGTTGACACTCCGAGAGGGCGGAGTGTATGACATATATTTCGATATTTCGAAAATATCCCTCGACTCCGAAAGGCGATCGGCCGCGCAGAGTCACCGCATCGCCCAACGAAGAGAGAGAGAGAGGGACAAAACGGAGTCTAGCGCTCGACGCGAGCAGGATAAAGAAAATCGATTCTCCCTCGCCGGGCTGGGGACCAGCGTGTACACGCACGAACACGCACGCGAGGAAAAGCTAGGGGACCGATTTGGTCCGCGGGAGAAAAAGAACCCTAACAGCACAACATATACCCCGAAATATTCCGAGGATATCCAGATGACATTCGAACATTCCTCGGGATGTTCTCCGAATATCCTCCGAAAATCTTTCGGATATGTTGATGAAATCGAGAGAGAAAAAAAAAAGGAAAGCCTTACCTCGTATTTGACGCCGTTGAGTCGCAACCACGTCTCCACCTTGAGTCCGTACGGGGACAATGAGGGTAGAAGCGGCGTCCTCGGGAACTGATACAGATAAACAACATCCTTCTCGTAATCAGGATGATGCACGACGTTGGCCTTCGCCGGCGCCGCGGTCGCACCGGCTGCCGCGGCGGCGGCGTCGTCGTCCTTCTTCCCGGCCGACTCGTCCTTCTTCGCCGCGTCCTTATCCTCCTGCTTGTTGTCCGGCGGCGCGTCGTCCTTCAGCGCCTCCTTCAGCTCCTTCACGTCCTTGATCTCCTTGCTCTCCGGCCCGTTGTTCTCCGTCTCGGTTGCCATCGTCATTCTTGCTTCTCTCTTTCCTCGGAGCTACTCCTGCGAAGTCACTTCTCGAAGCCTCTCTTACTCCTTCTCAATATCCGCGTACACTCTCTCCGTGGAGTTCTAGTCTCTCTTTCTCTCTCTCTCTTGGTAGCGCGCACCACACAAACCGTACGCCAAGCACTCGTCGCTTCTTTCTGCTCGCCGGCCGGTTCCTTCTTGGTCCGCTCGCGAGTCCCGTCTTCCCCTTCTACGCCGATCCTTCGCCGATCGTCGCGCTCCCTCATGCCGCGCGCATGCGCAAGCGCCACACCCCGCTCGCGGGCCGCCATCTTTAATTGCTCGGCCACCCCTGCCTGCGGCTTTGCGCCTGTGCGCGCGCTCTCGCCTCCCCTTTCCTTTCCTTTCACGGTGTGGACAGGAAATCTCCGGAAAATCGGCAACGTCGCCCCATAGTCGCGGCTAGTGATGGCTTCGAGCGGGATTCAAAGGATGCGTGGGATACCTTGGGAAGGACGATGCAGGGCTGTGTCTTCCGTTGGAACGTCTTGAGATTTGATGAGAATGAATGGTTTAGTTTTGCAGACGGGATCTGGATACATTTTTTTATTTCTTCTCTCGTGCAAATAATATAGAGGCGCGAATTAGCAATTGTTGATATCATCTTGATTGATCAATTAATTTTAATTCGGAGGACACCTCCGAGCGTGATAAACTACGACGGGACGTTGTTTTCATTATCTTCGTTATTGTGAAATATTCTGTAAAGAGAGAAAGAAAATGATGGGAAAAAAGTATAACGCGTGGAAAGATTTTACTTTATTTATATCCAGTATATGAGAAATTTTTTTATTTTTCTTTTTTTTTTACGACAATTTATTTGTGCGAAATATTCTCCTTACCTTGCATTATTAAGTTTCTTTCCAAAGGTTGTGTATTTTTTAATATTTGTTTGCTCCGTATATATAAGAATGTTATTATATCTCATCAAATAAATAATCCTCGTTGAAATAATTATTATATGTAATTTCGGAATTTTCTTCTTTAAAATGTAATATATATATATCTTCCCATCTAAGAGTGTGAAACTTTTACTATCTGAAATGAGAAAATAAAAAGTTCGAATTTTTTATTTATTTATTTAATTAATTCATTCATTAAAATTTACAATATTATAATTATATAAAAAATATAATCGCGTAAATATATATAACCTCTTCGATTAGACGTCGACAAATAAATCGTTAAAACAGAAACCTGATTATAAAAGAGGTTATTAAAATTTCGTTTACTTTAAAAATTAAAAAATGTTTAGAAATATAAAAATTAACCTAAAAGTTGCGGGCGCGCAGATTCCCAGTGACGAACCTGGTGCCATCGTTCGAAGAATCGCTCTTGAATGCGTCTGCGGGGAGTCGAAAATCGGATCGGGCCCATCGCTTCCGCGTCCCGGGCGGCCGACTTCGGTGCGCATGCGCGCGGCGACGCCGCTGGATGCTGCGCTGCGCGCAGCTGCGCAGTGCAGCAGCGCGGTGCAGCAGAGTGCGCGACGCAACGAACCCCTTTTTCAAGGGGGGTTCGCTCTTTTCCTCTCCGGCCGGCGAATTCTATTTGGAAAACAGCTTTCCTGGAACTCGCGCCGATGCTCTCCGTTCCTCTTTTTTTCTATCTGCCATTTTTTTTCGTCCGTCTGAAATTTACATCGTTTCGAGATCGTCGAGAATTTATGCACTCCCTCGTGCGCTACTTCACCTCGAAAATTATCGATAGACCGGGGTGACGGCGAACGTCGCACGCGATCGATAAACGCGACACCCTTTCGATGGGATGTTTAAACCCTTTGCTTTTAGGTCTTGGGGTGTCGTGACGGATTGAAACGTGGAGCGAAAATTCAATGCGCGAATTTTGTTTTTAAAAAAATTGCGCTGAAAATTAACAAGTATATATAATTTAATAAATAATTAACTCTCAGAATAAGCCCGGGTGCATATTTACTTAAATGAATAAATTTAATATAACATATAAAAAAAATTATATATAATTATAATATAATTACATATATATATATAATATTTAATTAGATATAATTATATACAATTTACAGATGCACGAGACACAGATTTCTCTTTGTTCGAAACGTTATGAATGGCCGGGGATCGAATATATTTTGCAACATGATGAAACGAAACTTCGGTTGATGACCTCGAAATAAGAAAAAAGAAGGAGGATAAAGTATTTAATTAATTACGGTGTGTTATCTTCCAATTATCTCTTTTTATCGCACTATTGAATGATGGAGTGTATTACGCATAATTTATGCGAGATATATTCTCGATACGATTGATATTCGTGAATATATATATATATATATATGCTTCAGATCACGTTTGTCACGGACGACGAACGATCGATACGAGTGACGATTCGAGGTAACTGTGGCGTCGGATAATTAATCAGTTGCCTTTGAGCGACGTTATATCGCAAGTCGCACACAATCGGCCATTGTTGCGACCAGATACAGAATATTATTGTGCGAAAGGGAAAATAAACTTCCTCGGATAATGAAAATTGAGATAAAATCGAGCGGTAGCTGCTAGAGATAATATTATTTTAGGTGCTATTCATATTCTGTTATAAGCTGAGATACGAATTAATTTTCATATTATTAAGGGAAGAAAATAACCGAAATACTCTCTACCAAGAAAATTTACATTGAATCCTTATTTTCGTAACATTTTAATATATTATAAAAATAAACATATAAAGTAGAATAATAATATACGTATTATTTGTAGCAACTACGTTGTAATTTTGTAAAGAAGAAAATGTACCGTTTTAATTAAAGTTTTTTTTTAACAGCATTAATAGTCACCCAGGATAGAATTTCATTTTCTAATCCTAAGATAATTTTATCAGTATTTGTAAATAATAGACGATAAATTTACATAAACACAAGATAAGAGAAAGAAATGTCACGTCACAAAGAGAGACTAATCAGAAAATGCAATTCTGATTTATATATAGTAATTTGATACATCATATTGTTAACAAATTCATTTGCTATTTTTTTTTACTTAAAAATAAAATATAAAATATAATTTAATATCCATTAAATTTATGCACGCGTATTAATAGAATGAAAAAAGTGAATAATCACAAGATGCAACTCTGCTTTACAGTAATTTGATATATTATATTGTTAACAAATTCGTTTGTGCTTTTTACTTAAAAATAAAATATTAAAGTATACAATTTATTTAATATCCATTATGTTTCCATGCATGTTTCTAGAGTGAAAAAAATAACGCAAAAATTAAAGATTAGTTATGAAATGGAAAAAGCGAAAAATGTGAAAAAAAATCTATGGTCCCGATGTCGTGTGTGAAATTAAAATGTCGAGTTGCATACGAGCGGTGAGTACTCTCTCTCTCTCTCTCTCTCTCTCTCTCTCTCTCTCTCGTACAATACTTGAAAATCGATTCGTCTAAAATGGGGCTTTAAGCTGAGAAGCCCTCTGCCTTTTTCTCTCTCTCTTTTTCCCTCTTGTGTCGGCGGCGCGAAAAGAAGCGATATCGATCTGAGTGAAACGCGCTATCAGAAAACTCACCCGTGTGGAAAATCTTACGATGCGTTTGTGCATTATTCACCGTCCAGGAGTTTTTTTCGAACTCGACGCTCTCCATGCGTTCTCGTACCTTTTACGTCAAGTAGCCGTTTAACCTATTTCAATCCGGCGCTATTGAAATACTGCGCGTTCTCGAATGTAACGACGTAATTTCGGCGATCTCTTCAATAGAAAAATGTTGGAGCGATTACCTATAATGTTCAAATGGAGACACGTTTAGATGGTTACGTTGACATCGATAGATTCTATACACATGTATATACTTGCAAAGAGACTTACTTCTTTTCAAGTTTTATATTTTCAATCCGATTCTTTTCAACCTAAATAAAATTAATGCCTGAATTTGAACTTGAAACTTGTTTAATCTCTGATTTATACCTCAGAGTCTCTTTCACAGGCTGAGTTTTTATTTGACGCCATAACGCTCTGAAGTTCAGTGTCAAAAGATGGCACGTGACCAAAAATTTGGTCATGTGACGTGTGACGTCTTTTCACTTTGAAGTTGTCATAGTATCGAGTAAAAATCCAGCCTCTCATATATCGAATTACTTTTAAAAGTAAAATTAACAGATTCAATTGTATATACATGATAAAAATTATAAATAATAAACTTTTCAAAAATTCTTACGTCTCAATTAATGACAATTCATGCTTAGATAATATTTTCGCATTATTTATAAAATATTAATACGAAAGATAGTTATGGCTATCATTCAGATTTTTAGATGCGGAATTTCATCACTCGCGTGTTGAAAATATATATATATATGATGTAAATACAAGCTGTGTTTTATAGAGCGTGATAATAATAAAAAGTAAAATATTCGCAAATTCGATCTCTCTCTCTCTTTCTCTCTCTCTCGTATTCAAAATCATTTCCACTAAAGTGAATTTTTTATACCGTAACTTTCCAGTGAAAAAAAATTCATCGTTATTATCAAATAACGATTAAAAAAAAAATTATACAGACAAATCGCGCATATTTAAATGCATTCGTGAACAAATCGCGATTATTATCGCACAAAGACGCGAGAGCGACACTCGGTTTTTGACCGAGTATTTTTTTATTTAAAGCGTCGTTTCTCTCTCCGGTCGGGGATTAAAATAGAATATCGTTTTTCTCATTCGATTCAATTAATCGACCCTTCGCGACTCGAATTTATCGGGCCTACACGACTTGCTCGGAAAATATATATGACCATTCGCACGCGCTACTTCCCTCCTGATTACACCGAGCATTATATCGTTGTCGAAGAGAGATTTTATGCCTATACACATATATTACAGTATATTATTTCAACGCGGGACGCATATGTCCGATTTAAATATGCATATAGAGCCGTGGCTTTCACACGTTGCCACGCAATAACGCATCGATACGGATTATTTCGTCTATTAGAGAGCCCAAAGCCGCACTCACGCACGCACGTAAATGTGTTATACCGCAAAATGCAACGCAAAAAAACTCATAATTAAACGCCCGTCTATCTGGACAACGCTGAAAAATACGACCGAATGACAAATTGGATTAATCGTCCGAGAGAGACGTATATAACGCCGTGTATTCGTTACGGATCGAGGAGCTAAATCGTCTCTCCGAGTGACCTTCTGCCGTTTGTAATAAGAACGAACGCATGCTACATCTTGGCCTGTGTGGTAGCCGACGATCGAACGCGTTGGTTTCCGCAGGAAAACGTGCGCTAAATTATTAATGGCACGGCGCGACGCATTGTAAGTCCTGCTACACTTTGTCTTCTTCGAATACGACGATAATGATAAAATAATGACGAGTATTATTATTAGAAACGTACGGAATTATTATATAAGGCGGAATCATATAAAGCTTCGTCGCATAAATAATCTTACAAAATTTTCAGATTGTCTCTCCTCAAATATAACGTCAGTGATCTTTATTAAAATTTCGAAATTTTGCACGCATATTGAATTTAATTAAGAATAAAATTTAAGGAACGTTCCATACGGATTTCGCTGTTAAAATGCAAAAGTGCATCGACGATTGATAATAGTTTTACCTTCGCAAACAACATAATTTATGCAACTTAATTTACATCGTAATTGATATATCGTTGGAGATGCAATCGTGTAGTCGCTGATTTATTTATTATTTCGTTTTTATCGCGCACACGATCAATAATTCAATTTCATGGAATGCATTCGTATCGTATACATGTTCTCGATCTAGCAAGCTGTGTTGTTTATTCAACGGTAATTCTTCAATTAATTTTATATTCGACCTTTTCTTAAGCGAGTGAGAAACTGATTTAAATCTATCGTTTGCTCGAACTTTTATGCTCTTGACAAGAAATATATATATATATATATTAGTCATTAAACATCTCGGAATTAAGAGATTAAAAATAAAAAGTTAAAGATGAATTCACTTTAGATCAATTGAAGAACAATAATTTCATCTTCGCTTTTGAAGCTTAATGTTTAATTTGATTAAATGCATACTTCTCAGTTTGCGATTCTGAAACAGTTCCATAATTATATTAAAGGTATAACATTGAATCGCAATTTTAATTAGTTTAGGTTCTGCTTTTTGGAACTGAAAGATAACTCTCAATAGGAAGGGAATGGCTCTAGGACAGGCTATATATACAGATTCAATGACGCAAAGAGAGAAAGATAGACTACAGATATGTGTTATACGATACTACAACGCGGTTCACACATCTACGATGCTAAGAATCCGTGATGATTAAATTGATTCTAGCGGCACGATTCTTTTTAATAGCATAAATTAATGCGCAACGGAATCTGAAACGCCATAAATACGTCTTCTAAATTTAGTACGCAGATACAAACGTCATTTTCTCTTCGATCTTGCACATTTATTCCTTGTCGTGCTACTTACAATAAATACATTTTTACTCGACGCTATCGTAAACAATCAGTTATTCGTGTTTTCTACAATTTTCGTTTGTATCCTTAACTGATATCAATTTTGATCCTTTAATTTGTGCGCGACTCGCGCGGCAGAAACGAATTAATTTATTTATTCAGTTTTTTTTCTATTCACGCTGTAAAATTATCATTTTACTAATGTATCGTCGTTACTTTGTTACTAGATATGCAAATTTGCACACGTGCGTGCATGAAAACGAAGAGGGCTTCCGTCGAAAGTGGCTCGTGTGATTAATTTACACAGATTTACAACGCTTAAAACATTAATCGATTTGTCAATTGTGTATGTTAGCACGACACAAAAGATTGGATGATTTAGGCCAAGCGAGAAAAGATGCGTTGCAAGTAGGCTGAAATGAGTCGTTTATGAAAGAAAGTAGCAAGGTGTTTATGTGAGTGCTTATATTGAAAGTAATTATCCTAGGAAGCCACTGTAAGGAACGAATTGTGCGGATTCATTAACTTTTTTTTTACGAGCATTTCCGATTATCTCGTACATTTTCAGTTTCGACAATCGTTATAAAATTGAGAAAGATTTTTTTCGCTTTTCTTTCCCTGAAACATTATGATCGAATTATTACGATCTTATAATTACCATCCCGCTCATTTTTAAGTAATTAAAATACACACTTTGTGCTGTGCGCAAATTGCATATTATCCATAAAAAAAAAATTAACACTTTTTAAAACCTTTTTTAAGAAAAATTCATTAAATGTATATATTACAAATGATAAATACATATATATGAGACAACAATAATAAGAATTCGATTTACTCTCCTATTTGAGAATATAATATATATCTTAAACTTTAGATAGCCAAATTTCTCAATTAGAATAACTCACGCTCTATGTCGCATGAATATTTGTGATTTATGTATTGCGCGATGATCCCTCGTGACACACATATAAATACATATATTTATAAAAAACGGTAATATATTCTCACCACGTTAATATACAATTTTCTTAAATGCGATTACATTTGGTATGAATTACAAAAATACACAGAGTATATCATGCGTATAAAAACAGTTGCGTGTGTCACGGAATAGTCTATGATAATCTTCGTATAATCTGCGGATCGTAATCAAGCTTCGAGCAATTATTAAACAATTCAAACCCTTAAATAAGAGAGATAAGAAACCGACACCCTGTGTGTGAACTTTTGAGAATATTATATAATATCATACATTAAGAGTTTTATATACTTATTGATGAATAATTATACAAAGTTTATATACGAAACGACTAATTATGGAATTCTAATCTTATCAACTAGGGTGTAATATCGTTCCCTTTTTATATAAAATGCAGAATAAATAATTTAATTGACGATACCGATGTATATCTAAAAAATTTAGATATTGCATTAATTTATACAAAATTTGCTTGAATTTCACGAAAGAACAAATTTAAATTTGCAATTTTTAGATTTTGAAATTCTTTCGAGATTATATTATCACATATTATCAGTCTAACCCTCGTTCTGAACAAAAATTAGTATTATGTGACAGTGACATTTACTGGCTAATAAACAATTGTTAGTTACATATTCTATATATAATACTCTGCTGTTAATTATGCTCTACAATACTCCATGTAATATAATATGTAAAGTATAATAATAATAATATATTGCTGTAGTAATAAACAATATTCTCGACTATGGTGCACATAAAGCATTAAAACATTGTCATTTGAATGGGGTGATCGCTCCGAGAAAAAGATGTAGCATTAAAGAAATCTCCAAATATCGAATATCAATTATAAATTATAACTCGATTTCTTTAAAACCATTGTTCCTGATTACGATCGAGATTACATGGGTCGATTACCGAAAGTGTCTATCATTATTATTTCATTGTTTCGTTCTCATTATCGTTTAATTAATTAATTAATTAATTGGCTATGCATATTCGTTATATTTGGCCTAGTAATAATAATACACGTAACTAAACAGGATTATTACGGGGGTATACACCCCCGTATATTACAATCTAAGCGCATAACGCGTTATTTCCTACAGCGAAAGCCGAACGACGAACAAAAGATTCGTAGTACGCATCGAGTAACGGAGTATTAGTTAGCTGCCTACTAATGGTCTGGTATACCTACATAGAGAATTCTATACCTCGGGTGAGTTTGGCGTGGTCGTATTGATATGATCCTGTAAGCAAATTCTGAGATCCCGCTCGTCCAATTCGCTTTCAGTATCGACGCTAAAACTTCGCACAGTTTGGCCGCCGAGACCCGTCCATCGTTGCTTCCAGCTCTCTAGCCTCATGACCTGTGACAGATAAAACGTGACGTGAGACGCACTTCCAAGTAATTCCGCGGAAAAGGGAGAAAGAAAAAGAAAGAACGCCTTATATCTCGCTTCATAAGGTGTCCATTCAACTTTCGTTTAGAAAAAGAAGAGAAAATTAAAATTTTAAGACAAAAAAGTCACTTGTCAAACTCGAAAACTTCTAAAATTGTTTATTTTAATTATAGAATTTTTTGAAAATACTTATTAATGTACGTTATTAAAAATATCCTGTATGTATAGTATCCTAGGAACATAAATTTTCATTATGATCACAAATCTTTCTATTGGATTGAATATGTACAGAGATGTATTAATACATCTAGATGAAATAATGTACAAATAAGAATATAATGTATCAAAGAAAGAAAAAAAATTCGATCTCATACTAATTATTTAGTTAACATTTATGATACTTTTATGGCTACTTTCACATTTGTGGTTTTTTCTTCTTCGAACTAAAAGCAACAGCCGTGAATGTTTATCAGAACGAAACAGTGAACTTAATCTTAAGGAAGCATGCAGTTAAACGGGAAGAACACGCCATGCTTATACGCATCACCACGCATATAATACAGAAAGTGAGCCACATTTTAATCCAAACTTCGAAGATGCTACTTCACGTGACAAAATCATATATATCATGTTAAATCACAATTAAAATTCAATTCAATTCTCGCAAAAACAATTCCGATTCCTCGATCAAATTCAACTGGGTACTTGGAATTAAGCTGATTACACGTTCTAACACTATGTATTTATGATGGCTATCATATAATTACTAAATACTGATTATAAAATCATAGAATTGCTAATGCAAATCTGTTTACCCGCTATGTAAATGTACACACTGCCAGATGACTATTAATAAAAGCAAGAATTCCAAACCCAAATTACGATGGAAAACATATAACGCAATAAAAAGAGAACCAGCTACAATGATAAATTCTTTTACAGTAAAAAAAACGAAATAAAAAAAAAATATCATGCCACGCGTACACATATACACGGAGACGGTATGAAAATGATGCTTACACATGGGTAAAGACTTACTCGAGCCAGCGCCAAGGCTCAGTCTCCGGGCTGGTGATTGGCGTGGGGAACTGAGGAGAGACAGAGATAACACAGCAATAGAGGGTTAATTTTGCAACAACAATTAGTCCCTTCTGGTTAGCATTAGTCATCGTTCGGTACCTTTACACAATAAGAATCATTACCGTATCTATTATCTCTCTGATTCAGCACAATGTCATGCGTACTCCGGTTAAAAAATTCCACGTATGTACGTGAGATTAAACGCAGTAAGGCGTCAATTTACTTTTGTCGCCTTAGCAAGATATATCAGTTCTGATCTGTCGGGCAAACGTATAATTTTTTTTGCAAAAGAAAACGAAATACAAATTAAACACGGATTTTTCCATCATAACGTAACGTAAGAATGTTAAACGTATAATTCAATAGAATGACATTTGATATCTGCTCTTATATGATGTCTGATTAATTTCTCGTCTTAATTTATAAATGGTATATTTAATGCGGTATTACTCCTATAAAAGAAAAATTGGACGACGCGTGGTAAAATTAAAATTTTATCGTCTTACATAATAACAAAATAAGTTAAAAACTTTATAAATACTTGATGCAAATTTAAATAAGATATGCTGTTAATAATTCATGAAAGACATGTATAATTAAACAGTTTAAAATTCGTTTGCAATTTTTAATAATGCTTTATCTGTAAAGTTTATCATAATTAATTAATCCTCATGCTGTGCTAACTCTCACTTCCTAATCCGACATTAGTGAATGTATGTATATATTCAACAAAATTAAGTCAGTTTTATAGATCATTTCAATTTAACATTTCGGATAAGAAAAATATTTTTAAGATGTGATATTATAATTCTTCTCTGAATTGTTGAATAGACTTGAAAATTTCGATTCTTAAAAGCATATGTCAAAGAGCAGTGCAGATATGACAAGCTGCAATATATCAAGCATGAGGACAAATATAGTAATCGACTTTATATTCAATCATATATAAAATAACAAATCATTTCTAGATTAACGCGATTTCTTAATATGTATAAGGTATTTATACAACAGTAAATTATTGCAATGTGTATAAAGCCATATGTTTGCCACGAAAAAACCAAGCCATATTTTTCTAACTAATTAAGCATTGTTATTATCAGTGGCATATACAATAAATATTCAAGAATTATTTTTCTTATAATTTCTTATACATATAATGACTAAATTGATTACAATCTTTTTCGGCTGAAAATAGTTGCGTGCTTTTTAACTTTTACAGATATTTATAAATGTTATTTTATATAACAGTAACCGTGAATGAGAGCACATTTTGTGCAAATAAATAAAATATAAAGAGTTATTGAGGATATAAAATATGTTTTAGTAGTAATAAAATAAATATTAGTCACAGTAAGTTTAGTCATAAGAAATTTTGTTTCCGCAATCCACCAAACGACAACATTATAAAGCGTGTTGGTTAGCGTTAGATTGCAGTAAGAGGTGCAGTTTGTGCATAATTGTCTTATAAGTGTATAACACATCAATGAAGAAACGAGTTACACTTACGAACCTAGCAAAGTAGAATTTTTTGTGTACAATAGGCATGATTTTTTTATGAATGAATTTATAAAAGTGCAGTATGTATGTATATGTGTGGTAACACATCAAAAAGTCGAAACGTTCAATTAATGTATAAGACACTTGATAGGAATGTACAGTATAATTATATATAATCTTAAATAACATATACATATACTTATATTACATTTAAACCATGTAAATATGTAATATTTGACTTATTGATTAACAAATAATATTTCAAAGGAAAGATGATTCCATAATTTCATAATACTTGAATTATTTGATAAAAAAGTCAACACATATTTAAATTAAAACGAAAGCATAACAAAGCAGTGCTTTAATTAAAAAGTTAAAAAAAAATAGTTAAAATATCTATCTTTTTATATAAAATGAGTTCATTTTCCATAAAATAATCAAAAAATTTCAATGATTGTTAAAAATTGTAATTATAATCGCATAATTATTAAAACTATAATAAATTTATAAAATATATAAAATATTTCAAATTGTTGTTTCTAATTGTTTACTTGTAATAGAAAAGTTTACACACAATACTATTACATTTGTGGTGCTCTCTTATTAAAAAAAAAAAAGAGACGTACATACATATCGCAACATGTTCACCACTTTTCATTAATTATAAAATACATGTTGTGTGCTGCTTTTTATGTAATTTGTATTGTTATATTTACATAGACTGAAAGATAAAATTTACAATTGTCTGACATACATTATATGAGGGAAATAAATGTGTTATAAAAAAGATAATTCTCCACCCCTTACTGCAATATTCCGAGATACTGCTTTTGTTAATATAACATAAAAATATGAATTTATTTAAATTACACTTACCTCGGCCTTTAATTCAGCAACTTTATCCTGAAGTTCTCTCACTTTTTCGCTGTCATCTAAATTATTTCTAAGTTCGCCCTCTGCATACATCTCCTCGTTCTATAAATATATCAAATATGTTACTCATTTTATAGTATTACATTATTAATATCTATTAATCTGTTACAGTTATATTAACTAACCTTCAGTTCGAGAAGAGATATTTTTTGCGTAAGTTCCGCCACTTGCTGTGCATGTTCGGCGTCGCGTATTCTGGCCATCATAGCCTCGTCCTTCATTTTCGACTCCAGATCGGAGTATTTGTGCTGTTGTTCTCTCAATTTGGCGGCCAGGTCCTTTTCCCGAGCTAACGCAGTCTCCAAATCATCCTTAAGTACTTTTCCACCTTCATCTTGTCTACGAAGCTGATTGGTTGCCACCTGCACCTGAGTTTCAAGCTCCATAACTTTAAGTCGAAGTTCTTTAACTTCGGTTAACGCCTCCATCTCTCGAATCCTAGTCGTCATTAAATCTTCCTCAAACTTCTGTACTTCGTGACCCCGATTTTCCCAAAACAGCAGCTTCTTTGGCGTAGAATCAGCGGCAGGTGCCGATTGAGCGGACCGATGCTCTTGCAAATGTCTCTGCCAGGCTGCACTTAATTCCATAACCCTTTGTCGTAAATCCTGCATAATACATAATTTTTTGATATTAGCATAATATTTATAAGAAATATCAATATAGAAATTATATATAGAAATGGCAAGTCTTACCTTTAAGGATAAATTAGCTTCCGCCTCTCTAAGCTTAACCGCAATGAGTTCCTCTTGCAAGTGAGCAACAGAGTTGTCCGGCGTTGATTCACGCAGAGTCTTTTTATCTTGTTCCAATTCTTGTATTCTTCCCCTGAGTTCCCTGATCAGTGCATCATTTTCTGCCTCGTGTAATCTAACCCTAACCAATTCCTCTTGCAAACACTGTATTATCTCCTCCTTCTGGGACAATGCTTCTTGCTTTAGTAATATTTCATCCATCGATGATTGTCTAGATGTCACGTTCTCCTCGAGAAGAAGCGAAAGCGATCTCAATTCCTCGTGAGCTTGTTCGAGCTGATGACTCGTCTCGAGATGCGAGTGCCGGAGCGCCGCCAATTCTCTCTGTGCTATAAAAGCAGTCTCCTCTTCTTCCGCTCGTGAAACTTGACCCCGAACTAATCTATCGGCCAGTTCCGCGGACTCCGCTTCTAAAAGTTCAGTTCTTTGTCTAAGTAACCTGTTGTCCGCTCTAAGTCTACGTAGTTCGACCATTTCTTCCTGCTCCTTCATCTTTAGGATAGTATAGTCCTTTTCTAATTTCTTCATTCTTTTCGGATTGATTTTCATTCCATAAGCGAGTGTCATGAGACCATCAGGGTCTTTTTCGGCCTTTCCGGGCAATTGCTTCTGGAAAAACTGCAGGAAAAGGCAAAATTATATACAAATTTTTGTGATTTATTAAATAGATAAACGATCTATACATTGCTCTACTATTTTTACTATTTTTATGCACATTTAAGAGAACACAAAATCATACTAAAAATCAAAATTTCTTATAGCACTGACCAATAATCTAATTTAACAGTCTAAAAAAATTGTAGACAGGTAAGTCTTACCTTCAACATTCCTTCCATGTCTAAACTGAGCAAATCTTCTTTGCCTAAATGTAACATCGCTAATGCGACCTTGAAGATAATTTCCATGCCCTCTGATAGAAAGACGTCAAAAATGCGGCATGCTAGAGGAAGACTTAGCGCTGTGGTGAATAATGTAAGAAACCAAGAAGACGCATACATCGACGTATGGAAACCTTGGGCCGTGAAGTGAGCGTGTAATTCGGGATGCGTATCAGCAACTAAATGTTCCAACTGATACATGCATACTCCTAATTCGGCCATACTTGGTTTGAACATGTCTCGTAAGCGATATTCTTGCATAAGCGCTACTAGTACAGCAAAAGCTTCTTCTTCTGGCATTTGCTGAAACATACAAAATTTTATGCATCTTTGTTTCTTTCTTTCTTTTTATGTAGAATAAATAATTAATAAAAATATATTAATAAGAAATTTAAGTTATGCAAGTAATAGAGACTATAAATTTTTATGGGTTTTTATAAATAATTGTTTAAATATATATTTTTTGTTTTAGAACTTGTTACGAACTTGCTTAGTAGTTTACCTGCATTAAAAGTAATCCTACTATAAATCCTGAGCCTTGGCAGTATCCTACTTCACGATCGTGAAGGCTGTATGCTTTCATAACATTAAACAGACTTTCCTGACCAAGACCATCTTTTTCTTTAAAAAAGTCATGTTCAGGATACGTCCTAGCGATATCCCTTCTAATTATCCTCTCGCAGGCTGACGTCGCTTTAATATACTCAGCAAATTGTTTCTTAACAGGAGAATCATGAGCACCGCTTAGTAACTGCCAAACAATGCCCCTAAAAAATGGTACATAATCCATATAAATTGTGTTGTGTGTCAAATAGAATCATTATTGTTATACATACAAAATGTACATATATATAGTGATAAAAATGTCTAGATTTTCTGAAATCTAAATACTGACACAAAAGATCTTTGACAATATTTTTGAAAATAATGTGTATGCTACCTGAAATGATGAGGTATGCCTTGACGAACCAATTCCTTAACAAATTCTTTCCGTTTCTTCCAGTGATAATCCCAATCAGACACTATATGACCCCAGAGAGTCCACGTATTTTCTTCACCATCGGTCGGATTGTGGCGTCGAGGAGCAGCATCGCCGTTACCTCCGCTGCCCCCCGACGCCACAGACACCTGTGATGTATCGGAGCCCTTTCTGCTATGATTGCTTTGGAGAGAGTTCAGTGATTTTGCATCGGATTCGATCAGCCTGAAATTAATACAATTTTCAATTATAATATCTGTTTGCGTCGTCTACATCAAACAAGTTATATTGATTTGTATATCATTTTTTTACACAAATCAATATCTCATTCGCGATATATTGTTTTATATGTAAAGCATTATAGTTATTTAGAAACGATTTTTAAATATTTCTCAATATTTCTCGTAAAATATACAGATAAATTTATTTTTTACAGTACATCCTTTGAGAATGCAATAATTTTTTGTACAAAATCTTTTTTTAAAAGATATATGCATAGCTAAATTTATTTGTAATTATCATAATAAATTAGATCTTCAATATAAAGAAAAGTCAAAAGAAGAAATATAGAGAAAAGCCAAAACTTACGCTTTTTCCCAAATTTTTCGAGATTGAGTTAAAAGTGCAGCCTTATTTTGCATCATTTCCAAGCCAAAATGTGTAACAAAATTAACATTTAGCATTTCTACTCTAAAAGCTTAAAAAAAAAAAGAAACGATTTATCCAAATCTGTATGCATGCACAGGAGAGGGCCTCCGACTTAATCGCAGATCTTGGAAAGCGGAAAACGTGAGAATTTTTGGATGTGTTGGACCGATTTGATCGGTTAATCAGTCCGTGCGCTGTTCGATTCTTGCAAGTTCGAGGATGTAGCGGTAAACCATGCGAAGAAAGGAGGGAACCACTTGATTATTCACCTATTGGCTTCCTCCAGCTTAGCTAACAAAGCCAGCTCGTCAGTGGGTATTTCTTGCGAGGGCGTTATTTGCTGCTCGCAGAGAGTGTCTAACGGCGGACTCGGGAGTATCTTGCCGGTGTGTGCGACGTTACGGGTAGACTGATGGATGCTGGAGGTGCATAAACACAGGACGCTCATCACCTGCGGTCCATAACGTGACAGTCCTAATTGGCCGACAGGCGCGTTTACGCTGTCCCGAACGACGCTCTGGCTCCTGAAACGAAACGAAACGGCTTGCGGTTAAATTAACGCGGATACCAATTTTCGCAGATACCAATTAACGCAATACGATTCGCGCTTCAGCAACTCCGCCGCGCCGATCTATTTAAACGATTACATATGCCCGAGTGCGTCCTCGCGCTCGTAATCGTGCGTCATAAATGATCCGCAACCGTGCATATTATGTATTTTCGATCGAAAGCTATTAACCAAAACGGAGAAATTCGATTTTAATTGTAAGACGATTATAAAATCAGATAATTAAATGTATCGATATCAGCTAATTAATACTAATCCCTCGAGATTCCATACGAAAATTTAGTGCTACATCACTCATACTGTAATCCTTTAATTTCAATATTAATCTTTCGGTCATTAATAAGCATGAACAGAAGGAGGGCAAGGGAGAAGGATTTATTTCCCCTTGGAAAATCAATAAAAAAATTAAGCTTCTGTTTAAACACTGGATTTTTTTTGCATATTTAATATAAAAAATGAAAATAAAATAACGAAAAAAATAAATTTTTAATTAAAAAAGAACAAAAAATGTTAATTATGCTTCCGTCCTCCCTGGAAAAAATCCTGCAGACGCTCATAATTATATTATATTATATATATGTATAATTAATGAGATTTTATTATTCGATTAGCTCTTTGATTTTTATTTAATTTTAGTTTCAGATTTTAGTCTCATCTCTCGTCGGTATAAAAGTTAACAAATCAAATAAATGTAGAGGTAAAAGAAATTGGAATTATATCTACGTAAATGTGTACATATTTATCAGTCAAAACGCTTATTTTTACCTTTTTGCAGTTTTATTTCTCCTCCAACGAGCCGCCGCAGGGGCCAACAAACCGCGAAGAACCATCGAGATATTTTGTTCGTTTTCACTATCGCGATTTTAGCGTTCAAGGAAAGCGGTTTTTTTCTCGTTTCTATCCTTATTACTTTGACATTGTCACGCGAGTTTACATACGACAACTGCTGACGTACACGCCTATTAAGTAGTACAATTCATTTTTCTTGACGATTGACTTTATATACTTTGAGAGAGAAAGAGAAGAGAGGTCCTTTACGAATTAGTAATCAATCAATCGTTACAATATATTTTAAAAGTCAGAATAATAAAGTGAAATGGAAATTGTAAACTTTAATATATTGATTATAAATTTCTTTAAATGGTATCATGTGTAAAAAAAATCTCTGATTGCATCAATTTTACAAGCTATTAAACAAAAATTGCAAAATGCGAAAATGATTTTAATTCACACATGGAGAGAATTTTCTCTTAAAATTTTTAAAAAATTTATAAGAATTTATTTCATTCATATTTACCACAATAAAAAATATTAATATGTACATAGTCAAATTAATCGAACATACTTTATATCTTATTGTGGTAGATATTAATATAATTGACGCGATTCACATTTCTTTAAACTGTATCCCATTCTAAAGAAATTCTCTGATCCATCAATTTTGCAAACTTTTTAAAGAACATTGCAAAATGCGAAAATGTTTTAATTAGCTATAAATTAATTAGCAAAATATTCGCTACAAATTATTCAGCACGATATTTTCTAATAATTGACGCGATTCACATTTCTTTAAACTGTATCCCATCTAAAGAAATTCTCTGATCACATCAATTTTGCAAGCTTTTTAAAGAACATTGCAAAATACGAAAATGATTTTAATTAGCTATAAATTATTCAGTAAAATATTCGCTACAAATTATTCAGCACAATATTTTCTAATAATTGACGCGATTCACATTTCTTTAAACTGTATCCCATCTAAAGAAATTCTCTGATCACATCAATTTTGCAAGCTATTAAAAGAACATTGCAAAGTGCGAAAATAATTTTAATTAGCTATAAATTATTCAGCAAAATATTCGCTACAAATTATTCAGCACGATATGTTCTAATAAATGACGCGATTCACATAGAATATCTTTATAGGAATTTTAATATATTTTATTATAACGACTATTATAACAGTATATTTTCACAAGCAACGGCACTCTTGTGAAATGCCTTACATAAATGCCGCGCTCGGTGAAGCAACGCGCGAAGCAGCTCGACACGATACGAGATCAAGAAGGAAGCAATTAGTGCGTGTGAACGAATTAGCGAGCGAAAGAGCAGGTGAATCCGAGCCGGTGTATTATGACTATGTATGTATTATGTATGTACATGGGTGTAAAGGAGTAAAAAAAGAAAAAAAAACGGAAGCAAACGGAATACGTCGGAATACCGTTTTTTTCAAGTACATCTTAATAATCAAATTTTATTTCATCTACCGTTTCCTTTTTATATTTGTTTAAAAAATAGATTTTATTATACATACTGCATTTTATCTTTTTGCATCAACAATTATTCTGAAATTTATAATAGATATTTCATTGATTAAGAAACCAAGTATTATTATATCGTCGCACAGAGAGACTTTTCTCATAGAATTTACCTTGAAAATTATGGCATTGGTAGAATTTGATATGAGTTTCGCTGACTGATATTTCCCACAAATAAAATATAAAATATGGTCGAATTTTACTGTATACATATCATATAATATTTTTATTGTGGTAAATATAAATAATCAGAGAAACTCTTATAAAATTCTTCCAATACTATATTGTCCTTCAGATAAATAAATTCTAAGAGAAAATTCTCTCCGTGCAGATTATCGAAGAGTTTTCTGATTTGACAGATTGTAATATTTCTTGTACATATTGTTCAGGATATTATATATGATTTTTTCCCCGATATATGTTTGAAAAATGTGAAGCAAGGAAATTTTCGAGAGAACTGTCGTTTTAATATAACGGTTTAGCATTATCTTAATGTCCCGTTGTTTGCAAAGTGCGACGAACACTTGCGTCGTATCGTCGGAATTGCTGCGTCGTAAAATTCCAACTTATTATCAGGCAAATATTGACCTATATGTCGCACGTGGCTCGAATGTACAACGACAATGGTACAACATAAGCTGCAAAGCTATTTTTTATGCAGATATAAAACAAACAAGCTAACGACTTAAATAAAAGAGGAAAAGCAAATATATTTTTTTCGGAAAAAATATTGGTTCAAAAAAAATATCGTTGAACTAATTGCGTGCATTCTTCCGTCATTAAGTGAATTTACATTTTTAAGAAAACCAGTTAATAGACAACATTCTTATTTTAATGACTAATAATGAATTATGTCCATTAAAAATGATTTCAAAACGTATTTTGATAATTAAGATGGCTCAGATTAAAATCGATGGAACATATTATATATAGAGGAACATTTTCTACTTAATTTCAGAACAGTAAAGATTCATAATTCAATGTTGCTGCAGCATAATGAAAGCGCTTCTCAGAGCGTAGTAAAGTCTAGAGTATATATAGTAAAAGGATTTCTAAGGCTTGCATAGCAACTCGTAAATGATGAATTACCCGTTACTTGAATAACAGCAAACATTATATTATATTACATATATTAAATATAATTTGATATAATGTACAAGTTATACATATATGTATATAATATATACATAAATAATTTACTCTTTCATATTAATTTCGTTGTCACATTATATTTAGCAACGTGCAAAATAACAATGCTTAACAAGCAAAGAAGAATCTAAAAGGAAACAATAAAACAATAAAAACGAGTGCTCGATGGAAGATTAAGGAATAACAACCGGCACTTTCAGCGCATGCACGAAATGTCATAAATATACACTCGCTGAATTATGAATATTCTTATGTGAAAAAAATTAATTTCGCAATTTCTTAATTTTACTCGGATTCTGCGACACTATATATATATATATATATATGAAAAAAATACGTTTGAAGAGAATCGTGTTGCATATACTCATACAAAGCAGATAACGTAATCGGAAATGCATATACTCGGATGTCCGCGACTCCTCTTTCCTTATCAAGACTCTCTTTTTCTCTCTCTCTACCTCTCTTTTCTTCTCGGTGACGAATTGTCAAACGGTCAACTTGACGTGCCCGATCCGACACGATATCTTTTCACTTATTTCCCGATCACCCGGCACGGTTGGCTTCCGGCTAGGCATGCACTGCTCTACGAGAGTACGAAATGGGTTTGAGGGTCGATGCAGCCCGCGCAGGCCAGGACGCTTCACATGCGCAGCGACGTCCGCCTCGTGACAAATAAATAAAAAGATTCCTGAGCCGATGGTCGCACGGAAAAACGACTGGGCGTTCTCGTCATTCAGAATGTTGACAATTTGCCGGCAAAATTGTTATTAAGTCAATGGACAATTTTCAAGAGTCCTCTCGCAGCCTTTAAACCGGAGCACCGAATGATATGAGTATTCGAGATTTCTTTCTCGACGTTTTATCCGCTGCAAATTTGCATTTTAAGTTTGCAGAAAATCGTGTTTTTCTATATCATTTTCTCTGCAATTTTTTCGTTACCTATACAGTTTTACAAATATATCTTTATTTTATTATCCATGTTTTTATTAAACTTTTTTTAACGCGAAATTTTCCGATTAAAATGATATCGAAGTGTTGAATAAAATCATGTATATCTTTAACAAACAATATATATATTGAAAAATGAAAACATTTCAGTTTTAATTTAATTTCTATCTAATATTATTTAAAAAATTAAGTAATTTTTAATTGCATTTTATTTTTAATGGTTTACTTTTTATTGAATATCGATATGATTGAAATTAACCGTGCAATTTCAGTAAAAAATTCAGATTGAAAATTTAAATAAAATTTTTATTTTATGGTGGAAAATTTTGTTATAAAACAAATAATTACCTGCTTATCACATTTATTGTTGTGTGTACTTGGGAAAACCTACATTTAAAAAGATATAAGATGATAAAAAGATAAAAAGAAATCAATGGATTAGACTTTAATATCGTGATATATCAAGATTTTCTGTTACTATTCATAAAATTAATGATAATAAAAATTATTATACATAAATTACTAACATCATAATAATATGTCGCTCATCAGATAATTTAAAATTGATTCCCGCAATACTAAAAATATAATCTTATCGCAGATAATCCAAGATAAAGATTTATCGATTAAAAACAAATATATATATGTAAACTTCTTAGAAATTAATCCACTTTTTTTAGGTTTCTTAATTTTAATAAAATACATGATTAATGCTTCGAATAATTAGAGTTAGCTTTTGGAAGGCTATATATGTATAAACAAATATTATATAATGTCCTGGTTCAAAAAATTTAAATAATACTTAATCGCGATATTAAAGTCCAATCTACTGATTTCTCTTGATATCTTTTATAGATCTTTAGATATAAGTTTATTATCTAATGCACATAAATATACAAACACAACAATAAACGTGATAAGCAACTAATTCTTTGTTCTATAAAACTATGTTTTCAACCATAAAATTTTGTTTTTCAATTTAATTTTTTTTTAATTGAAATTTGAACGGTTAATTTCAATCATATAGATATTTAATAAAATAAAGATTTTTATCAATAATAAAATATCTAAATCTTATAATACAATTATAATTGTATCTGAAATAAAAGTACATTCTTGTGCAACATGCATTCGTCATCGTTTATGACGCCAAACAGCCGGAATAGTCATTTGCTCGTCAACGAGATTATATCATGGCGTAACAAGTTCTTTCTTATGCAAAATAATGCATCGTGTTAAAATAATATTTTAAATAATATATTATTTATAGAATCAATTTTAGCAATAAAATAGAATTAAATACAATTAATAAATTTTTTGAAAATCCCAAGAAATCTAGAAACATGCGTTATCTTCTTGTATTTGTAATTATATTTATGTTAAAGATTTCACGTAATTATATAATAATTTTATTTTAATGAGCTCTCATTTTAATAAGCGCATACATGTGCATCTACGGGAAATGGCTAATTATGTAATGCTACCCCTTTAATTTTACTTACGTAGCTACAAACGCTTATGTGTATAATAATGTGACAAAGTAGCGCTCATGTGACAAAGAGATAGTTTTACACTTTTAGAGTTAATAGTTTAAAAAAAGCGAGTACATTTGAAATACGGGACTTTAATGATAATTTCCCTAGAGTAAAATATAAGAACACACACACAATGCTTTCAGAGAAAAATTAACGTAGGTGTGAAAAGTCCATATGGACATATGCAACACAAATTTTTATAAATTTATTTATGTAATTCACAATGCAACTTTAATTGTCTTTAGTTGATATTTTCATTTATATTTTAATTTCGATGTAATTAAATAAAAAATATGAAATAATCGGAATAATATATAAAAATAAAATTCTGTTATTCAGTAACATGCAACACCAATTTTATAAATTTATTTATTTATTTAAATCACAATGCAACTTTAATTGTCTGCTGATAATAGTTGATATTATAATAGTTAATATTTTAATTTATATTTTAATAAAAGGATGAAATAATCAAATTAATATATAAAAATAAAATTTTGTTATTCAGCAAGTAACAGAATGAAATCTACAACATTTGTACAAAATTTATTAAAGCAAAATAATATTATTTATATTCTCAAATAAGTTTTGTAATAAAATACAAAAATCTATTCCATGAGAGATCTATGATGATTTCACTTAAGGAAATCCGATTAATTGGATAATTATGACCTTTTGCAATTGTACGTGCATTAATGCAAACATTGGCATTCGTTAATCAAAAAAATTAAATTACAATGAAAAGTCCGATGATTCATTTGTGTGCAGACACACCTAGGTATTATATGAGTGATACCTCAGTGGGATTGGCATCATTTTCGCGCTAAATCGAGCTTTAGAAGGTCGGTGTATTTTTTTTCCAGAGTTATCATTAAATGTAAAAATTTGGTAAAATCAGAGATACATCGCTGAAAAGTCGATCTAGTTAATTCCATCAATATCATTTATGTAGAAATCTATACCAACAATTTTACTCGCTAATAATAATTACGATCATTTATTACATCGTAGAAATAAATTGCTCGAATCAATATTCATGTAAATTAATTAGATGGAAAGTGCGCGAGAATCTATTTGTTCTATCAGTAATGCTCTCAATAATTTATATGTAACATGTATAACAATAACAAGTGATTATTATCTTCTCTAGGAATGGTTCATAATTCTCCACTATGACTAGATAATTTCAATGAACTAAAAAGATTATTATTTTTTAGTATCAACATTTTTAGATCAAATTCTCTATGCATTAATAAACTATATTTCTTGAAATATTTCTGATATTCTAATTTTCAAATATTTATGTATTAAAACATTTATTTCTTTTAAAATATATGATATATTTCCATTTTATTTAAAAATAATATAGACATATATTATGTGCAAAGGGAATAATACGTTTATATTATTTCTCTAAATAAATAGATTTTATTTTTAACCTTGTAAGTCTTAAATAGATATATTCTGTTTGTGAAAAACAAATGCATAATAATATTGTTCCGCTCAATATTAATTATTATATTAATTATTATAATTAATAAACCTGATAAAATATAAAACAATATTAATAAAATATTATTCATTAAATGTAGTGTACAAAGCTAACGGAATTGTGACACAACATAAAGGATTCAATCAAGATAATGAAAGAAATTAGGTCGTATTCAAATTATTGTATAAAGTTGGTATGTGGATGTGTAATCGACTCATTTTCAGTTTCCGCACGAAAACACAAATGAAATAGGAAGATGAAAGGAAGAAGCATAGATCCGGTACTCAGTTATCGACCCGTAAATCACGACATTTTAAGCGTTAAAGGTCGCTATCTACTTCGAATTTCGATGTAACGACGTGTTCTCTGTATCGTTGCCCAAATAAAGTAACAGGAATCTTACGTGTTCGAAATGTACGACTTAGCGATATTGATGTAAGATACATTTCAAACCGTGATTGAATTATTTCTCTCTTTTTATTAATTATTTACAACGTCAAGGAACATTATACGCGAAAGATAATAAATTAGATATTAAATAAATTAGGTACTTTTACTTGTAATTAATTATATCTTAATTATATTAGAGTGTAGAGAAAATTTCTAACAATAAAAAATAATATAACTCTTAATATAAATCGGCAAAAAAGAGAGAATAAAGAGGGAAAGAGATAATAAAAAGAAAGATACAAAATACTCTAGAAAATATGCAACAGAATATTTTTCACGAATTCAGAGTTCACGAATTCTCGTTTCAGTAAATATTTAATCTGATTGATTTATCAATTTAATACTAAAAATTGAGAGATCTTTAATAAATCAATTTTAAAAATATACATATATACATATATAAAAGAATAACAAAATGACATTTTGCAATAAATTTTCGAATAAGTTATAACAAAAATTTTTTATCCCACATTTTTTCTTTTTGACAAAAAGTTCAATCTTAAAAATAATTAGAAAAATTTCAACAAATGATCAGAGAGTCAATAAAAAAATGGAATTTTAATTGAAATTTAATAATTTGTCAATTTATTGAGAATATATTTTATCGTATTGAAAATTTATTTTTCAATTGATTTCGGGTATACATATAGTCAGAATTATTTAATAGCGTATGTGCAGTGCAAGTCTTTTCGTACTCCGAAAGTTAATTCCACCTAATTAACAATTTAACGAGGTGTGGAAGAAAGATGGTAGAGCATTGACGTGAGTGTCTCTACCTTGAGAAATGATCCTTAATAATTCTGTGCAATTTTAAAGCAGCCTACTGACTTTCACGTAGTTCGATACCGTTTCACCTTACAGTTTCGCAACAGCACGCGAAATGTAGAAATTAGTACTGCTACTTACATATTATATGCTTACTCCTTTTCTCACGCGCAGCGCGTTAACTTTATTGTCGTGAAGAATATGAAATTTTTCAGGTCAATATTATACTCGTATAATATGTATACTTCAAAACGTCATTTTCATTTTATATATACACTCGAATAAAATCGCACAAAAGAAAATGATTGAAATTATATAAAAATATTAGAAATTTGGATTTTCTTTTTAATATTAGAAAAGAGATTTCCTCTTCTCTTAATTACAATAAAATTTTCTTTTTTACTATTACAACCCATATTATTGCACATTATTGCACATTATTGCAAAAATAAAAAAATTGTATTTTTATAAAATATTTGTAGTTTTACAGTAAATAATGAGATGAATAAAATATATGTATATAAAAAAAAATAATCTTGTTAAAAAATACTAGAAAGAAAAAATTAAATAAAATAATTTATTTAAATATTTATTTATGCAATAGAATTATAAATTAATTGATAAATTGATTTAATAAAAATAATTTATTTAGTATTTAATTTGTAAAATAAATTAATTTCTAAAATTTTTCGTAGAATATATAATGTATAGTTTAAAAATTATAAGACACTTATAAAAATATAAATATCTATAATGACTTTAGTGTTTCATTAAATATTTGACAAGTATATACTTTTTAATTTTTGAAATATATAGTTGCTGAAATTATTTCATTATAAAATAAAATCATCATTTCACATAAAATTAAATTAATTTATCAGTCAATTTATAATTCTATTTTATAAATAAACATTTTAATTATTTTTTTTCCAGTATTTTTTACAAGATTATTCTTTATATATATATATATATATAATTTTTTTTTTATGCATTTTAAATTCGCTAAAACGACAAATTTTTTTTTCAATTCTTAAAAGGCATTAGCTAATTGAATTCTTTTCTCTCGAACCGCAATGGAACTGCATCGTACTAAAAAACTGCATTTTTCTTTAAAAAAACAAGAAAAAAATACAGTCCTCTTTCATCTCTGTAACGACTAGCGACAAAATAAACATCTGTACAAGAGAGTGAGAGAGAGCAGCTATTCCCATTCAGAAAAATTCACTTGGGAGAAAATTTCCCCTCTCTTTTCTGAATTTCCACCCACATCTACCGCCCACCTTTATCGCTCTTAGTCGCTCAATTAACATAGAGACAACAGCAATCTCGAATAGCGATAAATGGACACGCTTACGCGCTGGTTCCGTCAAAGCGAGGAACGAGGAGCGGCGTGGAAATGACAATAAAATAGGAGACGGGCGGCAAGTGGCACGCAAACCGGAAAAGCGATATGTATACGGCCGCGTACTAGCGTTATCCGTATTAGCAAACAAACTGGTTGTCACACAGGTGACGGCCGTTTTTCGCAGCCATCTGGTCTCGCTCGTGTTTTCGGGTCGCTTACCTCTCGGAGCTACCTCGTGCTGCTCTGGCCGCGTGTCGTCGACGACGTCGTCGTGTCGAAGAAAACGTCCGAGTGAGCGTCGACCGGATTCCCCGACTCCCTGGATCGTACGGGATCAACTAACACGGTTACACGGCCGACGAGCGTATACGCGGCCTGTCAGCACTCAAAACTGTCATTACGATGGATTTGACTACGCGCAATGTTACCAACGAATGAGGCCGCTTTGTTACTGTAACCCGCTACGCGAGAATAGCGTCGCGACAAATCGCGCGCATGCGCGGATACGTCATCGATCATATGGTCGATAGAAATGCCTTTTACCTGTCATATATATTCCAAATATTTTGCTGTTATCTAAATACAATTATGTAGATGAAATTTTGATGTCATTTTATTATTACATAGATAATAAAAATATGTATTATCTATATCTGCAATAACTAATTTTTAAATAAATAATTAATAAATTTTTAATAAATAATTAATTTTTAAATAAATAATTTTCAAATCGAAGAACGTATTAGCTTTACTAAATTATCTAGATAATGTTCAGAAAAATAAATAAAATTTTTATATCTCTTATAATTTAAATTTTTTATACAACTGTATATTTATATAAGCGGTCTTAAAAATAATATTATCTGGAAAAATTATCTAATAGAATCTAATAGTTATATATAATTTTATCTTTTATCTAGGTGATATATTTAAAACAAAATTATCTTAATTTTATTTAAAATAAATTTTTACATTTATCTCATATATTTATATCTAACTAATTTTAAAATAATTTACATTTTCCTAATAAATTGAAAAATTCGTATATAAATTTATTATTATACAAATATCTCAATGCGTATTTTAATTAGAATTTGAAAAATAATTTTTTTAATGTCGAAGAAAGAAACGAAATAAATTGTGCGAAAATTCTGCTCGGACATTTGAAATTGGCGCTTCTTCCGCGACTCGTTTCTCGCGTCCTCCGCCAAGTGGCGCGCGGATCGGCGCGTAGGTGTTTCTCGCGCGAGATGAAGAACTGAGAGAAACGCGCCAGTGCGCGTAGCAAGGCGACAACGTCAAGATGGCAGTCGGTGCACGGGACTGATCGCTCTCGCAGTATGGATTTTGCCGCGTGATTCTCGGTGCTGCAGTGATTCCCGTCCGTCTCCGTAGCGGAAGAAGGAGAGGAGAAAAAAAGGAAGGACAGCGCACGGTGCGGTCGCCGGGTGCCGCAAATGGTGTCGCGTCGCGGAAGCTCGGCAGATCGAACGCGGTAATGAGAAAAATATCACGAAGCAGCGTGCGGTAACCGGAGCTCCGGGCCTCTACAATGGTGGATAACAGTTGTATTATCGAGGGAAACGTGAAATTTCGCGACGGCAAGAAGGTGAGTCTCTCCGATTGTTGTGTAGCTTATGCGTGTGTCTGTGTATGTCTATATATATATGACATTTAATATATATATATATATATATATTTTCGCGAATATCAAGAATGCGACACCGAGAGCAGAAAAATCGCGCGCGCGCGAACGCTCCATTTTCTCATTCTCACCCTGCGATAATCGTCACGAGCGTATCTTCGCAATTTTGCGAATCTTATCTTAGCGACGCCTCCGTTTGACAGGCCACGCTGCGTCACTCGCAAATGTCAAACGCGTGCTCGCGCGACGTTCATCCATGGGAATCACCTGAGCCCTACGCACGACTTTCTTCTCATTCGTAATAAAAATTATGTAACGATTACGGGGTGGTTTGTAGCGTGTATATGTGTACTTTGCACGACGCCGGTGGCTCGTTTAACTTGCGAGCGTTTATATAGGATGGCCCGGAAAAGATGCGCGACAATAGCAGAATCGTATAGGGGGCTGTCAGATTTAATTTTTTAAAACAAAACAATATGCATGCATGGTTTAAATTTTACAATTGCGGTATAATAACATATCCTATTTTTGCAATTATTTATTTAAAAATGAAAAGCTTAAAATTTATTATACAAATATATTTGGTTTTATATGTATATATATAGTAATTATTTTATTTATAGTAATTAACGATTGCATTCAATAAAATTAAGAAAGTTTTATCGAAGCATTAATAATTATGCATAAAAATTAAACGAAAAATTGTTAAAAAATATTTTTAATAAATGTTTTGTGTAATATTTTTGTATCTTATGTGTATTCAATTTTTTATTTTTATATGTAGTATTTTGTAATAAAAATATTTCTTGTCTCAGTATTTTATAAAGATATTTTTCAAATATAAAAATAATACATAAATAATAATTGTGAATTCTTATATATAATTTTATATCATATCAAGATGTAGATATATTATCATCTCTGTTATCAGAAATGTTTTTATATTTATACTGATAGTAAGATCTTATTTCTTTTAACATTTTGTAGAAAAAATTAAGAATTTTAACATAATCTTTGTTCAACTAATACATTATAAAAATAATTATAACGTGCATATAAATCTTTGATTATCATTATTTAGATATTATTTTAATAATTTTGATTATTTATGTATTTATACTGCAGTTCGTCTTTTAATAAAAGAAATTATGTTTGAAATGGAGGAAATCTGATTACGTCTAAAAAATGAAAATCCAATTTGGAAAAATTACATTATTGTGGGAGGTTGGCGGGATTACATTATTTAAGGACGTACTACAGGGAAGTAGCTAATCCAAGTCTATAAAAAGAGAGTGGTAGAATAAGGTATTTAAAAAAGGCTCTTTTTCGTGTACTTTGATCACTCGAAACGAATATATCACTTTTCGAAATGTACCATATAATTTTTATCATAATTATTATTAATAAAATAAATATATATTAATAATATATTTTTAAGAAGTATAATTTATTTTACAGTGGAAGTCAAGATGGTGTGTTATGCGAAAATTATCGCCAGTAGCAGGTAAAGTGAATTTTTAATTATTTTTTATTTTATTATAAAAAGAATAATAATTTGTTATTACTGCCAATTAGATAAGATTGTATCAAAGACGTACGTGTAAAAAATATGCATATCATTGTGTATCGCATTTGTATTACATCTTATCAGAGTGAGAAAGAGGAAGAGAGAAGAAGAATATAGCGAGATAATAAACAGGAAACATTATATATTCTCGAAGCTTTCCTACTTTTTGCCTCTCTGTTATCATGTTGATACGGTAGTATCTGGCAATTTGCATAATAGACTCTGTGCTTCATATCTGCTTGCAAACTGTGCATACTACATTTCCTAAGATAGATTTTTTGTTTTGTGATTTTATAATTAAGAAAATATGAAATTTGTTGCAGAAAAACAAATTTCGCTCTAGAGAGAGCTTGTTATGAGCTAATATATTCATAAAAATGGAACATCATCAACCATCTCTTTATGAGGATAAGCAAAATAAACTCGAAACATCGTTATAACGGAAATGCAATAACTGCTTCGTTTTCGCACACATATCATATAATAACATTATTATAGAATATATATAACAAGTTTTATATATATATATGTATATATTGTATATACATACATAATATTTCCCAATAAGGTTCGAGCGCACGTAATTAAAAAGCTTGTTAATTAGCAATTTAATACAGTCGAGATATCGATCGTTCGCGTAATTGTTTAATATGCATCTTGCTCAAAATGAACTATAGCCATCGGGGGAAATTGTTACGGATTTCTGCATTCCATGTGTTACAAATTGCTATAGAATTTGTAGCCGAAAAGTTAATTATTTTCACTTCTCTTTCTCTCTCTCTTTAAAGGGACCCTTCCTGCTTGTTATCAGTACAAAGAGTCTTTCCCTTTAGACCTTCCTGGGGTGGCAGCTGCTACATCTGTTACAGATTGGTTGCTTGAAGCAACAAAAAATTTCCGAGAACAGCTTTGCTCCTGGCAATAACCATTAATACGTGATCCCTATAACTTGAGGATATTTTAGAACTAAGGGTCTTCGTGCTTCATAAATTTTTCTTAGGTAGAAGTTAACGAAGGAGAGAGAGAGAGAGGAGAGAGAATAAACGCAGCATATGTAAAATTCATTTCTGTGTATCGGAAATGTGTTGGGTTTATCATAAATTAATAATATGTATACACAATGAACGTATGAATACCTTTTGTTTACATTTATACATGTGAATAAACATCAAGTATATGCGTTATATACATGTACGGCATAAGAAACAATCTTCTCTAATTTGCTAATTTGGAAAATAAAATTTGCAAAAAATTAGAAATATTATGTAATATTAAAAGGACAAGTACACTTGAAAAAACTAAAATATGAAAATATTTTATTTAAAGAAAATAGATAATTTCTTGAACACACGTTAAGTTATATAAAATAATCTTTGTATATATATGTTTTAAATTTAAAAATGTTAAACATAAGAAATTGGTGTTGAAATATTTGGAAATTATTTTTTTCAATCTTTATGTATTTCTTTCTTAAAATTCACTAGTTATCATTTTTTAAAAAGAGCAGAAATAATTATATCATAATTTTATCAAAAGTTACAAACTTGTTAAAACAATGACTTGAAATTATTAAACAGCTTACTTAACAAAGAACACTGAGAAAAAAAATTATTTACATATGTTAAAAATTCCAGTTCAAGAAAAAGAAAATAAAAGGAAAAAGGAAACATAGAAAAGTTTTGCCTTATATGATTTCACAATTGAACTCGCATTCTTAAAACATATGTGAAGTAAATGAGTATTCTTTTTCTTCCGTCAACAGATTGCTTGCATTTACAACTGTATGGGGACAGTAAGGATCGTTACAAGCAAGGCCAAACGAAAGCGTCTTTGAGCTTGCAACATTTTCTGGGCGTGGAGAGCGGTTTTACGCTTGACAAGGAGTCCAATACAATCGCTATAATTTGCCAGGATGTGACAGTCGTTCTCGCGTTTGACACGCGAGAGCGATTGATACAGTGGCAAGTTAAGATCTCGAATAACTTGGGCGAAGGTAAATTGCACGCAAAGTATACAGAGTGTCCCAGACTTATTATACCACATGTTAATAGGAGATTCTTGAGGCCATTTGGAATTTGGAGACAATTCTTCCTCAGCAAAAGTGTCCAATAATTTTCGAGTTATAAACGATTGAAAATAAAAGCTTTTTTGTAAACTAAGCCTTGTGAAAATAAATTATTAGCAAAATTACATTTTTTAGTAAATTTCAAGTAAAGTTTACTTCAATAGCATTTTTTAATTTAAGGCTTAGTTACTCAACATTTTCGCTGAGGAAAATCGCCTCCAAATAACCTTAGGAGTCTCCCATAAACGGATGGTACAGTAAAGTTGGGACACCCTGTATATTAGCGAGAAAAAAAGAAAGAGAGAGAGGAAAGCATATATTATACGTAGTTATACAGAATCCTATGCAGAGAGTTCTAGGAATGCATAAAGTATAAGTTTGAAAAAGTTCTCGTACCTTGTATATTTAATTCGCCAACTTTGCCCAACAGATCAGCAATTCTTGATACTCATCTCCTCGGTACCGTCAAAGGCGAAGTTCACTAATGGGCCGGCTCACTTACACATTCAGGACAGTCGTTTCTGCATCACCATCGGCGTGCCACCGCGGCTCGTCGGTATATGGGAGATCGCGCATCTCCGACGATACGGCGTGGTGGAGGGTAGATTCTGCTTCGAGGGCGGTTCCAGATGCGGTCGAGGCGAAGGGCTGCACGTTCTGATAACCGATCAGGGAGACGACATAGTCAAGACGCTGCAATTGGCGGCCGAGGGCAAGCTCACTACGAAGAAACGATCGCCCCTCGGTAGAGAACAATTGACCACGCAAGACAGTCCTGGACGACGTCAATGTTCTCGCGCAGAGACCAGAGCCAGCGATTTTTTCCCCTCGGCCGTCTTGTACTCGACGTCGACTTACGAAGACCAATGCGACAGCTGCAAGAACGAGAACTCGCCATATTGGTCGTCCGCGGAAAGCAGACAACAGACAGCGGAACTCGATGGCGACTACAGGGACACCATGTCGATATCAGAACTACCCGATCAGCAGACCAGCGGTGAGTGGCGCAGCTGTTCGCTCACTCGTCAAGGTGCAACTGGCCTGGAGAGATGCGCCAGTTGCATCAGTAAACTCGGCACCGTCTCAAAATCGTCTACTTTGATTACCACCACTATGAGCGGCATAAGCAGCCCAGCCGCCAGTACGTTGAACAATCTAGGATGTCATTTGCAACCCCGTACTTTCGATCGACTCTCGCTGTCCTCTTACAGCAGTAGTAGTCACGACAGCGATTACTCCAGCTCGCAGCAGATCGAGTGCCAGTGCGCGCAATCGAAAACCGCCCAGTCTCAGACGGCACAGCAGACGACGACGGCTCGTCGAATGTCACCGAGCCCGAGCGCGTTGCCACCGAGACCGCCGAAACCGTCCCAACCGCCATCGTTGCCAGCAACAGCCAGCAATCAATCCGTCACTGCCAAGAAGCCTAAGAAACCGCCGATGCCACTGCCAACCGAACAACAACAAACTTGCGTACACACTTTGAAGCCCCAACAAACCCAGCAGCCTCAGCAACAGTCGCAGCAGGTCGTGACTCGCGGCGGCGCGGGACCCTATGAGAACTACGACATTCCGAAAACCATTCTAGGTCATCACATGTTGCTAGAGCAAGGTCCGCAACCGGAACAGTATTACGACACGCCGAGAAAAATAAAAGAGTGTCTCACCCTGCCGAAAACTTACCCCAATTACGACACGCCTCAGGTGCCGCAGGCCGTGGTCCTGCAAGGATGCGGATGCCCCGCGAAACTCACAGTCCAATCGCCCAGATCCTCGGGATGTCCTTGTCACAATGTTATGAGCTGGGCCGGCTTCGTCCTGCCTTATTGTCGACGCGGCGCGGGAATCGAGCCCACCGGTGTCACGGTGCATCCCGTGAAGCTCTCGGGTGAAGGTAAGATGCCAGTGGTGAACGCCAGCGGGGAAGTTGCCATTTATGCAACCGCTAAAAGGATGAATAAAACCGAATCGATCGACGAGAAGGCTACGGAGGAAAACTGTAGTTGCGCCGCGACAAGCAAGTCGAACAATTACGAGAACGTCGAGCCAGTGATAGACACGCAACCGGAATCGAAGCAGGCGAATTACGTGAATATAGATTTTTCGCAATCGCTTGAACATTATGAAAACAGCAAGGATGTACTAACCAAGAGCAGTATCTCGCAAGAAGAGATTGAGAAATTCGCGGACCAGTTGAAGGAACCGGCGCCTGAAGTTCCGGCCGGCGATAACGTTACCAAGGTTTGCGAAAAATGCGGTCACGCGAAGGAAAGGGAAGACGATTACTTGATTATGGATCCGGACAAGCAAACGCCGAAGAAACCATTCCCTAGTTACTTACCGATGCAACCGATTCACAATGCTTGCTCCAAGGAGATCTTGTCCAGGCTCTGCAGCGGCATTAAGAGTTCCAGCAACCCGACATTATCGGGCTCCACGTTGCTTGAGGGAAACAAGAAGCGCTCCGACTCGGAGTACCGTGTCCCAGGTTCGGCGATGTTATCCAGCCCGTATCTCAGGCGTCGTTACTTGGACACGGGTAACGTCGCGGAATCCGGCGGTGGCAGCGTAAACATACTTCTCAGGAAACGTTCCTACTCCGCCGAATCCGCGCATTATCTGGACGACGAGAGTCACACCTTTCCGTCCACGCTTACCATCCACAAATGTTCGAGCGAAGCGGACAAGAACTCTCTGATAACCGGCGAGTCGCACAATTCGTGCGTGAACTCCGAAAGCAAGAGTAGCAGTAGCAGCAGTCAGGAGAACGGGCAGACGACGTTGACGACTGGAATCGCGTCTCCTCAGCCGTCGTTCATCAAGATCCGACGTTCGTCGTCCGTGCCATCCAAGACCGGTCACAACAGAGACTCGTCGAGTAGCAACGATTCCGGCGTCTCCACCGGCTCCTTGAGTCACCGAACCGCGGAATTTGTCGAATACGAGTTGTCAGGACCTCCGGCTTCGGCGATAAAGCCGAATATGTTGTCGCAAGTCTGTCGCAAGAGTCCGCCGCCCACCTGTTATCACAGCAGTCTGCCGAGGAAGTCCAAGTCCAGCGATCCTCTTCGCGAAATCTCCTTTCAGTTTCAAAAAATCAAGATACCGACGAAATCCTCGTCGGCCGAGGCCGACATACCAACGTGTTTGCCGAAGGCCGCGAAGGGCTTCAACAGTCCCGGCGAAGTCTCGAATACACCCTACATCGATTCTAGAAGTACCAGCAGTGGTACTTCCGACATGTCGGATTATATTGAAACCTTGTCGCTGTCGTCACACTCTTCATCCGATACACCCGATAGTCTGAGGTAAGATTTTCCATATGTAACCATTTTTATTACGAGTCTTGTAAAAATTTATTTTGACCTTCTCATCTTTTAATTTAATACAACTATCGAGATACAAAATTACATAACATTCTTCGAACTTATATACATACTGTTTTTAATTAAAATTACTATGATTTCTTAAATGAATTAATTTAATTTGACATAAGAATACATCATTATTTTCCAATTAAAATATTTTTATAATTAAATTGTAGAATCAAAAATCAAATGTTTTATCATATATTCCATTTACAATTTATTTTAATTTGTTTGAATATTTTAATTGCATGAACAGTGAGAGAGCTTGTTTTATAAAGAATTATTGTTTTAATTCAATTTCTATCTATAACTATATATATATATATGAATTAATAAAATTATATATAAATATATTAATTACTCTATCTAATAAATTAGTTATTTTATTTATATGATTGATGTGAAAACATATGATTATATATACAGATTAGGAGGCAGAGCAGTAGCAACCACTCTTCGACCTCGTAGCGGAAAGGAATACTATAAAATTGATCGAAGTATCTTGGTAGAGCAGGGACGGATTCTCACAACGGCATCTGCTAATTATGCAAATATCACTCCAGTCTTAGAAAAGAGCGAGTCACCATCACCTGGTTACATGAGCAGCTCACCGTTCGAGCAACCGCAACCTACTCGTGAACACTTTCTGTTCCCCGAAGTAAGTATTACGACGTTATAAATGATAAACAGTAACAAATTGAATGTGTATAACATCAAAAACTCTGCAAAAATAACTTTTTCGATACTTAAAAGAAGCAATAATTTACATTTCAAAATATACTCTTGCTTCCGTAACATTTTTTGGTGAACAATACTTACATCTTATTTTCCCTTATTACAGGAAGCTTGAATGTAATAATATTGTTTGGGAAAAAAAGAGTTTAAAAACTTGAAGTTCCTAGGAATTCCAAACAAGATGAGTAAGAATGAGTATTTCAACGGTAGAAATTATAATTGGGGCATTGTGACTATTTACACTATACGCGGATATCTGGGATTAATTTCGAACTATTCTATCTACGATGATTATTCGCCACATGCCGATATCGTAATATAATATGCCAAATGAACGTATCGAATAACAATCAAAAATTCATAATTCTAAGAACACGAAAGCACTCTTTAATCAAATAAAATATTCCTTTTATTGATGTTTTCGTAAAAGTCTTCCTCTAAAAAGCACAATCAAAATAAAAAAAGAAAAATGTAAAAAAGACAGAAATTTATGCAGAAATCTAGGTACTAGCGTATAGTTGAAATAATGTCAGTAATCAAACAATTCCTACAACGACTCAAACAATTTCTAAAATATGCTCAATAAGAAACTAATAGTTTGTATAGTAAAAATCCTGCCCTAGGATGTAAAAGATATGCATTGTATACTTTATATGAGTATATCGTTTTTTAAATACTTTCTTATTTTGTATGAGTATACTTCTATATAGACTATTGTACAGTCATTTTCGAAAAAAAATTGAATGAGATTAATAACTCTTAGAGATTTCAAGTCAGAGTTCTTGAAATTTTATGGGTCGATCAATGTGACATCAGAGCTCATAATAATCAACAGAATTGTAATACCTCGAATCAAATAGCTTTAACTCGCATATCCCTTTTAGATTTCATCAAAATTTGATATTAATTTAATATTAATTTGTATTTTTTTCTAGATTTTAAAAAGATTAGGAAGAAAAAAATTGTTTATTAAATAGGAAAATAATGGGAAATATACTCCAATATAAGAAATTTACAAAGCATCGAAGATATCACAATTGTAGTCGATTATAATGTGCTGTAAAGTTTTAAGAACTCTCGTCTCGTTTAGAAAAGATACGATTAAACATTTGTTTGTACTGGTTGAAATATTATCTATCCACATTCTGTACAACTAAAAAAAATGCACTGAATATATTCAGTCGCATAGTATTCACAGGGTTTTCACACTTACAAGTTATTTTTTAAAGATTAAGATAAAATGTTACAGCCTTTAAATGGTCTTCTTTCTAACGAGACACACATGGTAAACACCATAGTCTCTAGGCAATCAAAGACGGCACTATATATAGATTATAAACAAGTATTTTTAAGTAAGAATTACGAAATGAGTGTAAAGATCTAGTTATTTCGATAATTGTCATACAATGAACGTTTACAATTTTTTTATTACATCATATAACTTTTTAAATCATTTATATTTTACAATCTTTATTAATATTTCTTCACTAAATCATTAGAATATTTTGATATAAATTAAGACACAATGCCATCTCTTTATTTCGCTCATTTTAATTTCATTTATTGTTGTATTGTACTTAAAATAATTTGTATACTTAATTATTTAATTGTGATTATGGTATATGCTCTATTTCTACAAAGCTTTTACCAAAAATATTTATTTTTATTATAGGGTAGTACATGTCGCGTATTTATGTATTAGATACAAATAGATTAAAGTATGAAATTGAACAATATATTTACACAATTATATTAATTATATTAAATATATTATAGTTATAATATATATTATTTCTAATATTTTTTTCAAACGAATATGCATATTATACATGAGCATATTTATAATATTTTGTGCTTCTTCCATTCTCGTTTCTTTTTACTCGGTTTTTTACTCTTCTATATTCTGCTTTTTTCACGAGAAGAGATTACAAATTTGTGAGAAGAAATATGATTCGTATAATATTGCACAGTGGCTATATCATGCTGAGGGAGTTAGCATTAATAGTGATATTAAACGCAATAATAAAAAACTTAGAGTTATACATTTATAAGACCGATCTAGATTATTTCATATACACTGAGATATAATTACTAACATACAGAATTCTGTTTTATATTTATCGTGCTATATCTCTGGCAAATAATCAAATTAATAATTAAAATCATGGATACAAAGATGTTGTGGCCATTGATGAAAATTTATAAACATTGAACTTGCGGGACAATACATATTGTAGGATGAGTTATGGATTCCATCAGCATTAGTAATTTTGTATCACAATACAAAAAAAGGATTTTACTGTGTTTTTTTGATGTCTAAGAAAATAGAAAAGTTTAGTGATTTATTTTCTTAGATATTAAATGATTGTAAAAACTTTTTCCATGTGAAAATTGTCTTGTGCTGCTATATTCTGATGTTATCTGTTATATTTTCCTTTAATTATCCATATGGATTCATTTTTTAGGCTAAATCTAACAAGATGAAAAATCTTTAGACTGCTCTTGTGTTCTACATACTATATGCATTATTATAAAAATATTAAATCCATACAAGTCTGTTGCAATATGCATTAATTTAAATCGAAAAGATAGTGTTCTTTTACAATGTATAGATACACACTTGCAATGATTTTACATAAAATTATAAAAGTATTAAAGCGTAGTATTATTACAAGACTGAAAAATAGTGGATGTAACAAGTAGTAGGGAATAATTCCGCAGCGCTAAAATGTATAATTTACATGTACAGACCTAAGCGGAACTTGAAATCAATCCTTTGTAAAGCGTTTATTTCTTCTGCCTAACTAAGCATTCCCCAAGAAAGATATTCAGTATCATCTGTAAACACCAATACAAGCAAACGAATATATTCTTTTGGTCTTGCTTAAAGTGTATAGTAACTATATCAATAGCTTACATTAAATAGACAGTAGCAGCCTTAATGAAATATTGTATACAAAACGATTTATAGAAAGTGATACGAAGATAAACATTGAATTTCGCGACAAAGTTTGCGTATATATATAGATATCGTTTAGATATTTTACGCAGGTATTATAATAGTACACGAAATAATATTTATATTCCTCTTTATCTGGATTTCACGGCCTCAAATTCATAGATTGTAATATCTTCGAAAAACTTATTCATAAGATAAAGCCGTCATTATACCCTATGATCTGCATGTATGCGTTTGCATGCACATATTATACGTATGCGATAACGAATGCGAAATTGTGCATCTAAGCACGAGGATATGTTGAGTGCGAAATTTTCTTACGTATGTAAATCTATTGAGTCACTCTGTTTTTTCTTATTTTTGTTAATTTTTGCACAGATTTTTATGTCGAACGTACATCGACACAAAAAATCTGTAGAGAAAGAGAAAATTATGAGATGAGTTCAAAATTTATCATCACTCAATCTAATGATCAGATAATTTTTTTGATTTTGATATTGTGTGTGAAATACAATAGAAAGTCATTCGTATGAACACATACTAGTCAAGAATCGAGTACGATATACTGTAGTCATAATATATTTTTACTGCAAAAGAATTATAATATAAATATATTATGCATAGCCTAAAAATTAAGCACATGTCCACTGATTTTTTCATTATTTCATTCTTGGAATTGTCTTCTAGTTCGGTAAAATTATGGACCAAATATTCGTTAAATATATATATGAAAAATTTGATCATATTTTTAACTCGATATGTAACTTCATGGCCAAACGCACTGTAGTAACAGATGAAATGATAAATAAGTATCATGTATCCATTCTTGGACGAATTTTTATAGTTTCGTTTACCCTTATCACCGTTACAGTTATCACCGTTTTGCTCACAACTTTATATTAAAACGCAACATTTTACTCTACTTAAGTAGTCTTTATCTTTTGAAAATTATTCGTATAGTTATATATTTCGTGAAAGAATAAAATGTGCGTCGATATATTTATAAAATATATTTAGAATACATGTGCTAGCTTTTAAGCTACGAGAAACCATATCTAAGAATTTACTAATGATATACATTGATTAATAAAAAAATTGAATATACATATATTATACATATTAACTAGAAGTAAGTTTTCAAAGGGTATTACCAGTGCTCTATTCGTAATCGATGTACATAATTTTGGTGTAGCCTTAGTATATATATTAAAATCTTTTATTTTTTGTGATTCAAGAATAATGTCGCAAAAGCGAATTTCAATTGTACATAACACTTATCACGATGAAATGCGCTCAAAATGTGTCTCCAAATACTTTTATATTTAAATAATAGCGATTCCGTTATATTCTGTGAGTACATTTTTATAATACATTAGGATATATACATTTTTAAAATCCGATTTAGGAGTATATATTTTCGAAACTATCGATGATACAGATTTCATCATATTTTTAGTTTCATCATTTACCAATCATGTCACACTGCTTTATATTTATTACGTAACTAGAAATTAAGTCTGGTTATCTTTTATCCCTTGTTCTATCGGATATGAAAATAGATATATTTGAGAAATGCGTAGCTAATGGTCCATTGAATAAATTATTCCAAGTTGAATCATTGATATATAGCTTTTTCATATCTGATAAAAGTCATCAGTTATATTAACTGGTCTTATTTAGCGTACAGTAATATGTACTTAATTAGGAAAGTGCGACATTCATTAGAGGTAATAGAATCACATGTCCGAATAAGTAAATCTATTTCCTTTGACAATCTGTTATATGAAATAATTGAATAAATGAAATTCTCTTCATGTTGTAACATGAAGGAATTGTCAAAGTGCTGGCGCTTTCGCACTGCGACTATACTTGTACGTCAGTAACGAAAAAAAGAAATACGATAATATTTAGAAAAATTTTACATAAATTAAGAGAGCAGTCATCCGTCACAAAAACAAATTCTTTTCCTCTCTACAGAATTTTAAAAAAAGTGTATATTAATGGCACGCACGCAAAATTTTATTCTCAAAATAAATTATCAGTAATTTTTCACATATATACCTTTAATTTATAGTTATAGACTTTTTAAAATTTTATCTATAAGGTTTGGTTATAGGATTATATAAAATTGTCTGATTATGTATACTGTAAATTAATACAATAAGTAGTATTTTAAAAATAGGAATCAATTTTATTTTTTACTTAAATGAGTTTTTACTACAAACATGAAATTATATAATAAATGCATAATTAAGTTCACTTATCAATTTGAATGCATTAAGTAAAAGTATAATTTAGATATCAATTTTTTTGAATAAATTATTAATTGCTATTTATATACACTTCGTATAATTCACAAACAAAAACGTCTATAGTATGTAAAACAGGCACAGTATTCTAAAACGCGCTGTCAGATGACTTTAACTCTGTTACTGAGAGATTGAAAAGTGTATAAAGACCGTCTTTATTTTCTGAAATTAATATAATAAAATTGTCACACTCTCTCTAGGCCATCCCGCAAGATCGTAAGAAGAGTAAAGTATAATAATAAGTAATAACGGAGCTTAAATATCAGATTTTAGAATGCATTTCATGAAAAAGATAAAATTATTTACTTCGAATTTTTGTAATCATAAGAGGATAAGTAGGAAGAGATGAAGGAAATTGATTAAATTATTATAGTGCGTCATAAAAATAAATTATAACTCATACACAGTCCGTAGTAGCTGAAGTCATTGATTTACTAAGAAAGTAGAAAAAATAAAGAATTTGAAAAACACTTTTGTGTTTTTATTACTTTTCCAATCCAAATCCACTTCTAATGATATTTTTAAAAGTTTATATATTTGTAATATTCTAGTATATTTATAAAATAAAAGTATAGCTATGTAGAAATAAAAGTTTTATAAATCAAATATTCAACAAGACTTCTTCTTGGTTTATTAATGATATAGCATGTAACATATTAAAGCATGTTCACAATTAATGTTGACAATTGTTAATAATCCATAGCTCCATTCTTTATTTTTCGCATTTAACTATATTTTTATTACAGATATACTTCACAAAAATACAATTTCGAATATTTCTTATTTTTATAGGAGTAATATGAGTAATAAAAATATTGTTTCACAAATATATTCGATTCTATATGTATATTCGTTAGTATAACTTGAATATTTTCTTTTTTTCTTTATTCAATAAGCTTTTTGTCATCACAGTTTACTTCTTTTCTAATGCAGAATACATAACGCTTGAAATAAGACAATTTACATAAATTAATTAGAAGAAAGTCACGCAATCTCGCAGAAAAATATAAGTTCATTAATAAAGACAAAAAGATGTAAAATAAAAAAAAATATGTATATAACGAATAACATGTGTTACATTCTCTTAATAAATCATTTTCTTCCACATACAGAAACAATATAACAATGCGTAAACTTTTGCTATATAAATATATATATATATAATTATATCTCTATTTACTTTCTAGCACAAAAGTTAATTTAACATTTCTATATATCTGTACAAAAATAAATAGCAGTACTTTTAAACAGATTAAAGACAAAATCGCATTATCTCTATACACACTTTTTGATCCTTTTATTATTCAAGTATAATCTTCGATCGAGATAACTTGTTTTTCTCCACAAATTTGTCGTTGCTTTTTCTCTCTTTTCCCTTATGTGAATATATAATTTATATCAATATTTTCCTAATTTGTAAATTTTTCATATACGAAAATTTTCTAAAACAGTGAATATATTCGCTTGCATAAAAAATAGATTATAATGAATTTAAATTATTAATAAATTTAGACAAAAATTAGATTGCAAAAAAATTTTTTTATATCTTAAACATGTGAGAATATACGCGCTTTAATAATATTGGTGTTCTATGTAATCGTCGTTATCTCATGTCGTTTGTATCTTCTATTATCTTATAAACTTAACTGAGCTATAAGCTGTTACTATTTAGTTGTGCTAAAATCATATCATATATTATCAAAATAATTTGTAAGAGTTGCAATGCTTACATATGGTACAATATATATATGTGTGTATGTTGTATATGTAATATCAAATTAATATCAATAATATTTATTTCAGAGAAATAAATTGTGTTCTCTTCAAATTTTCGACACTTTCATGAGAATTCGTTGCAAATCCGACTTTCGTTTGTATGTAACTAATAATTTTGCATCAGTAGATATTTATACATGTATAAAAGAAACAATGAAAAAATTATCATACGACAATCTTACATATAATACAAATTAAATCGCATATATGTAAACAATTGTTTGTTCCTAAACCTTATTGTAAATCTATATAAACTCTGATCATTATGCTATATAATAATATATTTTATAATAAAATACTAATATAATCATATATGCGCAATTGAAACTTTTTTAATAAATTCAATGGCACTTGCATACTGTAAAGTTTAATAAAATAATATAATGTGTATATATGTGTATATACATGTACACATACATACAAGTACAATATATACAAAATATATTTAAAAAAGATATAATAAAATAAGACTATCCATTTCTTTAAAAAAATGTCAAACCCTTAATGTAATAATTTCAACCACGAAATTTAAAACAATTTTAATTTCGAATAAAGAAATATATTAAATTAAAAAATTCTTAATTTAAATTAATTTGCTTTCAAAAATCAAACTAAAAAAAAATAAAATGTAATCTTTTATATCCAAAACATAATAAATCGAACAGAAGATAATTCTTTTATATATTATTATCTCAATTGTTAAGAATTTAATTAGTAAGTTTAAATTTTTAACGTAAAAATAATTCAATAATAATATAATCGTCTATACATCTTTTGAAAGATATTTTGTATATACAAGTATATAATGCCTTCGAAACTTTGTACCTCGTTAACATGTATTATTAACACTTCTCTTTGGTTTAAAAATTTTTCGATCAATTATATTTAAAAGCTCAATTAAGACTTATTAACATATCCAATATAGAATTGATGCAAACTTTATAAAACCTAAAGTTTTTTCCTTTTTTTATAACTTACTTAAATTCTTTTGCTTTTTTTATTAGGACAAATCGCATTTTATATTTCTTTAAACTTAATTTATATGTATATATAGCAATAAAATAGGCAACACTAGCAGCAAGAAAATTAAAAACAATTTTTTAAATGCTCTAGATGCATATATGTCTCTTTCTTATAAGAGACTTTAATAAAAATATCAGAAGTTTATACATTTTTATAAAAATGCAAAGTAGATTTTCTTCTTTTTTAAACTTATGATTTAATGGAATCTTTTCTGTCATGTAAGAAGATGTTTTTCTTGATGAAAATGCAGCATGTAATTAAAATTAAAATGCAAAATTTTATCTATTTAAAATCTCGTTGAAATCACAATAGTTTGTGCACAAAATATTTGTGTATACAAAGAAAAATATAACTTAAAAAAATATCAATGTAAAAATTCTAAAGCATTTATTAATGTAAATCTTCTCTCAATTCCTAAAAAGGATTCCGACAAACCATACATTTGAAAAATAGAAAAACTGATAATACTTTGCATTGTTCCAAAAATATTCACCATTAATTGGACACTCTGAATGTACATATATTGGGAAAATATAGTCATAATTTGAGATCTACGAATTGAACTAAATACATACGTTCAAATTTTATATATGTATATAGCTGGTAACATAAAAGTGTAAACTAAATAAAAATAACAAATTGTTTCTTCTTAAATCATGACTATATCTTCCAGATCTTCCATAGATTATATCTATGCAGACTAGATTCTAGCGCTCGCTATTATAATAAATTTAATATTTTCATTTAGTAATGTTTTCTCCTAAAATCTAGAATAACTCATTCTCTTAATAACAACCATTTTTAATACTATTAGAAATTATAGCCTTAGTGTGTTAGAGGCCAATATTATTAAACATATTGTATCTTTCAAATAAAATATAAATGAAATATCTCTCCTTCTGATTTTTTTATCTATAATTTTAAATCGCAGAATCTAAAAAACAGTCTTTCTCGAAATAAGCGTGCATATTTTTCTCTTCATAATTTGATTTAGCAAATAATAAAAAAATTACTAAAAAAATCAATATAATATTACTTTACTTATATAAGTACATAGGGCCATTTCATAGGCAATTAATTTTATATTAAGTCTAAACATTCTTAAAACGCATCTCTTATCGCCAATAAACATTTCACAAAACTACTTATATAAATAATTATGCACATAAAATTTCAAATTAAAAATACCAAATAAAATATAAAGACTTTTTGAGAGAATCTTCTTAATATGATTCTAAATATTATTAATCGGATAGAAAATATTCCATAAATTAAGAATAATACGTAAAATGAGACTTTATATACAGATACCTGCATTATGTTAAATAAATAATGCAAACTACTAATGCGTAGAAAAGGCACAATGCAGAAAAATTGTAGTTACTCGATGAATTATAAAAATATACCCTGTTTAGAGCATATGAATTAGAAACAATGATAATAATAAATATGTGCTAATATAATTAGGACATATATAAAGTTATCATGCATTGCAAACTAAAGTTCATTAGTGCCAATATGCAATTTAAGTTTGTACACATTCTCAAAATAATTCTTATATGGCCGTAACGTTCCAGATATTGTAATTTTATTATTTATACTATTTGTGATTTCTCTTGGAATCTCTTATTTCAGAATCAGAATCATCGATGATATTCTACATTAAGATATGTGATTTTAGATTTGAAAGAATGGTAGTATACAACCATATGTGTACATTATAGTTTTAAAAATAAATAAAAATGTATATTAATACCGTAAATAACATCATAGCTTACAATTTCGGACATTCAATATTATAAGAATCTTATCCGCTTACTTGCAACAGCGTTGTACGTTTGTGGTGCTGAAAAATTAATCACGTGAAATCAAATTTATATTCAATCATAAATTTTGCGAAGAAATTTCAAAGCTGCTATGTATTATCGCCAGTTCATTTAGCCCTGTTTTAAATAAATTTGCAAATCTGCATATGAAAATAAACATATAGTAGTTAAATGCAGTCATAGAAGAAGTTATATAGAAATTATATAAAAGATAGCTAACAGGCAAAAAAAAATACGTTTTATAATTTCTTCATTAACAAATGAATAGGATACCTTCCTCTACTCCTTGGTGTTCCGCTTGTACTACTCTGTGCCATAACATTCTCCGTTTGTGAATGTAACAGCATCCTACACAATTTGTCGACTTCCTCGTCGCTCGAGCTAAATCTACTTAAATGTCTGTCGCTAGTAGTAGAACTTGGTATGTCATCACAGTTCTCGATCGAGTCGAATCTCAATCGCGATTCCACGTGTACAGGGCTTGATGCTCTAGTAGCGGGGGCGGTTCTGCTACGGGACCCGACATTTCTCAAGGGGATTTTGCTAAGACCTTGATTATGGTTCACATCCAATGTTGAGAAGTATCCCTTTATAACTCGACGTACCGTTGTCTGTTCCTCCAGACTGAGACGTTTGAAGTTTTGCTTCGTTTCTTTAGTAGAATCGGGTAGCCTCAAGCTAAAATTCGTGGAATGACGTTTCGTGCGATCTAGCACGCACTTGGAGCTGGCAAATCTTAAATTGTCCTTATCAAGTATCAAGGAATTTCTCTTAAATTTATCGTCCAGAGATCTCTCTTGGCCGGCGTCCCATCCGAATCTAGCTCTTCCGTACGGCGCGGAATATCTTTTAATCTTAGACAACTGCCGATCACTACCGAGATTCTTCTTCAACATGTTACGCTGCTGCAAACCTTCCTCGTAATCTATCGAAGTGCTTCTCATCGACGGGTCATCATTTTCACTCGTTCTACGTTTCATGCAGTCCTCGTATTCAACAGAGGAATGTCTCTTAAACTTGGGCTCTTGGGGCTTGTCGAAATTCACGCTGCCTCGCCTAGGTCGAACCGTGCTGTTGTTTGATCGTCTCCTCGTGGTGATGAAATCTTGCAAATGCGGGATTTTAGATGCGCTTGGGGAAGTGGAGAATTGCGTAGGTATCCTGATACCGGCGTCCACTAAGAATTCATCGTCGGACTGCATCAAGGGTATTTCCGGCATAGAGCTAAAAGCCCAACAAGAGTTATAGTGAGCCGCGTCCGTCAGTGCTCTCAGACCGGCGAAGTTCGGCGTTCTGTCCTTGTCGCCGATGTTAGTAATGTTAGGTAATTCACGCGAGTAATCCCGCCCCGTTAGTAGGGAATGCTGCTGCTGCGACTCTTGCTCTGTATTATCTTCTTTTACAAACGACAGAAGGAAAGGTTTTGACGAAGCGGAAGCAGAAGAGTTATTATATTCGCTCGCTTGAATCGGCTGCTTTCGAAACTTTGCACGATCGTCGTCGGTATCGTAATACGAACCACATTGGGAAACGTCGCTGCTCTTATATTCTTGCTCGCACGTATCCGGCAATTGCAAGAGAGCCTGGAATACGGCTAACTTGGAGCAGTTACATTGCAGCTTTTGCGTGATATAATCATTGGACGATCCATTCTCAAAGTTAAGATGCGATGTGTTAGTATGAGAATTGAAATATTCTACTCTTTCCCAAGGTTGCGTTAGTAGAATTCTGTTAGAACAAAGCGGGCATAAATTGCAGTTAAATTTTGTTATGAAGCTTAATAGAATGCTGACTTTTACTATTAGTGAACAGTAATTTATATAATACATAAAGTGTAATAGAATTCTTGGCCATCAATAATTTGTACAATTTTGCAATTTGAGTGTATATAATTAATTAGGTTATTTTTAAACATGCATTTATTTTGTAATGTAGCTTTGGAATTTTATTATGTTAAATTTTGCTTACCTTGTTTTTAAGCTTTCGACTGTTTGACGCGATGGTGCAGCTCCATCTGTAAAACATTAAATTTTAGTTAAAACGAGTTAAAGAAATTTTATCACGATTACTTTTGTTATCAATATTTTTTTATTCCTTTCATTTTTAGATAACTCAATTTTTAGTTAACTAAAATTTTTAATTGCTCTCTTTAATAGTTAACACAAAACAAAGATTTGTACTTTAAAAAATGGCTTGGGCTTGCAATAGAGACGACAGGGTTACTTGGACACAGATTTCCGCTTCTCAATTTCTGTTATCATTAAATAATATAAGTTGCTTACATTTCATTAATAACAACTTTGTTTCGTATGATGCTTCATTGTTCATCAGTGGACGCTCACCTTTTGATTGCCTGAAACATAGATTGCACACATAGATTTAATAATAAATAATAATACAATAGTATAATTTCTGACAAATTAAAGATAGATATTTTTTTATTTTATTATCTCAATTAATAAATTTAAATTTTGAACTTACAATCCTCTTGCAGAACCATCTGTTCCTGTTCTCGTCCAACCTGTAAAAAATATAACACACTCTTATCGATATATAAATCTTAGACATTTATTTCTAGTTAATGATTAACAATAATCTCTATTACTTCATAAGATTTTAATTATCTTTAAAAATGAAAAAAAATTGTCTATTAATTTCTATATATGGAATATAAAATATTAAATAAGAGTAAAAATATATATTCTGCAATAAAAACAAAATATTATGCAAGATTATGTTTATCAATACCTTTCTTTACTATAGTTCCAGTCGATTTTCCTACACCTACACCCGACAATTTCTTCTCTTCTTCCAATCTTTTGGCATCTTCTATGTCTTGTTTAGTAAGCTTCGTTGTTAACTAAACAAAAAATTGTATTCAGAAAAAAAATATATATATATATCTCATATAGTTAACACACACTTGTTTTTTATTATTAAATTACTTACACTCTGGCCTTCATACTTGACATCCATTTCGTCTAATTTTTGAGTGACGCTTTTTAAAATAAATAGTACGTCTCTATCTTTTTCGTTGTTAACCAAATGCCTCACAATTGACTCCAACGATGTCAGTAATTTTTTATCAGTTGGTATCCACAGCTGACTTTTTAGTTGTGGCAGTAAAGATACTACTTTCATTCTTATGTTAGCTACCGGATCTTCGGCCAGGCTTAATACAACATTGAAAAAATGTTCCTTAAAGTAAACGGAAGAAAAGATTTCCAGCGCTTCAATCATCATACGGACAAACATCATTCTCACATAACAATCAAGATTATTAGCTAAATCCGTAATGAGTCTATTACGTAGTTCTGCTCTTTGTATAGATTTCATGTTGTATCGTAGAAGGACAAGAAAAAGTATTCCTGCAGCAAGACGTACCGGTATCGGTCGCTAAATTTTGGAATTAATACTAATTATTAAACCTATAATACTTTCAATAAGAACAAAATGTTATATACTCACTGCGTGCAAAATTCTGGAGAAAGCCATTGGCACAAAGTACGAGTATATAAAATCACTGGGAAAACATTTAGGCAAAATTTCTAACTGCGCATGCATCAACGATGCCAGTCTCCAATTATGTGTACCTGCGACTTTGGCTTCACACTTTAACAAGGCTTTACCTATTTCCATGAGAGTAGAATCCTATGACAGACAATACAACAGCTTAAAATAAATGAATTATTTTAAATTTAAACGGTGTTATAAAATTTAATTACCACTCTATCTGTTCGAATAGTTTGATTTTCGGTTAAACATTCCAACGTCAATCCTATATGTGGAATTAATCCTTGAAGCACTTCCTCCGAATCATCTTTCAATAATTTTATGAAATTTCCTCTTATCTGTTGTGCACTCTTCGGTCCTAAAACCTTCGCTACCTACAAATTATTATTTTACTGTATATATACATATTGTTATAATAATTTAGTAAGCATAACATACTTAATCTTACTTCATGAATTCCACATGCAACAGTTCTCCGAACCATATAATAATGATCACTTGCTAATGCATCAAACGTTGTAAGTAATGCATTCACATCTTCTGAAGAGCTTGATATAAAAATAAACATTGCAGGCAAATTAAATGCACAATGTTTTCTACATTCAACATATCTTTCATCTTGTGTAGGACTGCTGCTAATCTACAAAATTAAAATAAAATACAATTAAAAAATATGTCAATCAATTTACAGAAGATAATTTATAAAAATACATTTATATATTTATAATTTATATTTTATATTTACAAAGTATATGCTAATAAATTATTACATAATCTATATATATATATATATATATATATATATATATATATATATATATATATATTCATTTAATGAAAATTCCATACTTGATTTATAAAATTTAAATACTTACAAATGTAAATTGTGGCTTCTCTTTCTTCGGTAATAGTATTCCTATTTGTGCAAGTTGTTGAAAGTATTTTAAGAACCATTTTTTTTCTGATGTAGTTAAACACTCTAAAATTATATTTATTATATATAAGTATATATCATTTTTAATTGCTGCTTAAATATTATTATTTAAATGGCAAACAACTATGTGCTGCCAACATAAATACAAAAATAATTTCTCTTACTTTCTAGGCCAAGTACAAGCTTTCCCAATTCTTGAGCTATTATACATATCACATTATCTTCTGATTTAGCTGCATTTTCACATAGCTTTTTAACAAGCGGTGCTATTATATTTTTTATTGTATCTATAAACATATAAATTTATATTTGAATTAATTTTTGCTATATCAAGGTCAACATAGATATTCCTCTCTTCTATATAATTTATCCTTTAAAAGTTATCCTAAAATAGTTCATTAAAATATCATATAAAACTCACCTTCCTGAAGATGAGGTAGTAAATACACTATTGTCTGTACAGAGGCATATCTTACATTGCTTTCTTCGTCACTTGCTAATTCTACTAGAGACGGTAGTAAAGCAGGTTTCACAGACTCAGCACCGAGGCCCTCCGCAACGAAACGTAATTGCAAACAAATATTAGCGCGCACGTCGCTATTTACATCTTGGCAGAGAGAGTGTACCGTAGGTAGAACTTCCTTTTGTATCCTGACAACAATTTGTATGTTATGTAATGATTTATTTATCAAGTAGAACTCGCAAAAGCAATAAATTATAAATTATTTAAACAATAAAATGTAAATTTCTAGCACTTTTTTATATTACAGTACGAGAATATAATAATGAACAATTAAATATGATTTAAATTATTTAGAAAATAGTCTTAAAAACATATTATTTCACATAAAAATTGTTTATTATACATGCTACAATCATGAAAGATATGTATATAAAATAACAAAAAATATATGAATAATATACTCACATAGCAGAATCAAATCTCGTGCAAATCTTTCCCAATAATCTGCTGCATGTTATCCTGGAATAGACAGGTTGCGACAACTGTCCTTTACTTATAGTCAATGGAAGAATCTGTATGTAAAAGTATTTTTGTTACCCAATAATTTGTTACACATAAGTATATAAAAAAAATCTATTTTATTACATTTAGATAATAATTTAATGTTTTAATTATTAAGCTACAGTGCTTGTTAATTTTCAATCTGCAAATTATAATTGTATTTTACTATTCTACTTTCTTACACATTACTTTTTTTATAAAATTGTTTGCTGATATAAATATATTTTATATACACTAAATAAATTGAAAGCACATATAGTATATTCTTTCCATCTATCTGACTGTAATAGAATATTAAATAGATCAATTTCTAAAGATTGCCTTTACAAACCTGTACTCTTATGACTTCTACCGGCAGTAACTCTATCACATCCAGTAAGGTTTCCAACCATGCGTGACAGATAACTTTAACATTCATATATACAAAGTGAATTAGAGTGAGATGAAAATGCAAAGATAATATTTAATATTTTTAACTGTAAAATTTTGCATTTTGTAAAATAGCAATTATTATTACTTTAGTTAATTAAGATGTGTTTACCTGGATCACGACTCTCCAGAGAATTTAATATACTTTGAAGGAATGTCTGACTGAAAACATTATGGCTGACAAGCTTTTGCTCTAAAATTGTTTTAAAGGTAGATGATGCTGCTATGTGAAACTCGGTTGATGCAGTAGCCAGAGACTGCTGCATCTTAGGTACCACTCGAGACATACATGATTGTGTGTCGGTAGCTAGAAGACTTGGTAGACTTTGTATAACACTAAGTTTTTGGATTTCTTCTCCCTTCCTGAAAACAAAATTTAAATATTTAGAAAACCTGAATTAAAATGATGAAACTGCAATATTTCACTCGTTTTCAATTTGTATGATAAATTATATATACGTGTCATGCTATCATCTTAAATATATAGTAGTAATAATGTGACAATAGTAATTTAATTAATGATTGTAGACAATTGTTCTCAGTTCTGAGTTTTCTCACATTTCAAAAATAGGATATATGTTTTAATTTTGTGAAAAAAAGAAAAAAAACCACTTATACTTTATAACAGATAAACTTCTATCTTATAATACCCGTTCACTCAATTGATGAGAAAGAAACAGAAAGTCGTTGATAACAAGATTATAATTTCGACTACATGTGAGCTAATCTAAAGCAAATATTTAAAAAAGATATCGAAAATTTAAAGAAATGTGATTCAATTTTGCTCTCTTGAACATAACATAAATTATCGACTAAATCATTTTGTCAATTACATCGATCAAACCGCTCATAAAAGTTCATCGAAAATTTCCAAAGTCTCCATCGAAGGAAAATCAATATAATAAAAACAACTAAAGTATCTCGGCAAAATATCATTTAAAATCATTATATATTTAAAAAACGAGCGTCGTAGGAGGACCAGTTAACCTAAAAATCTCGGGGGTTCCGTGAACCTCTGATAATCCTGTCATCGCTCCTTGACACGTTACGATACTCTCATAGAGGGGAATGTCTCTCGTCCCTTTATCCATCTCTTTAAAGGACTATAATTAGCACGGTTTACTACGACAGGACAGGACGCTCCTTGAACGAAGGCGCGTTATTTTTAGGAGATCGCGTGCGCGCGCGCGCGCGTGTCTAGAACGCGAGATAAGGAGGGTGACAAACTCCGAGCGAGGGTGAAGCTCAGGGTGATTGATTACGTGCGACGAGACTCTCATTGCGACAGAAAAAAAAGTACACATAATATCGCCTACTGTCACTATTATGTCACTTACGGATCGGACGCGATCTCGTACAGGGCTTCATCTCCCTCTTGCAACATTTTCAAGGCGCATCTTATTCATCGATGTCGCGGCCAGCGTAAACGCGGGTGTGATCGCGGATGATGAATCGGCAATGGGTCTCCTTTACGTCGACGCGACACGCACTCATGACATGACAGAACACGCGAGGAACACGCGACACGACGCGAGAGTGCGAGGGAACACGACTGACAGCTGGACGCGAGTGAAGTGAGGCAGCGGCCGCCTCTCCCGTTCCGCGATTCTTCGACGCTATCGATTGTATCTGATTTGCCGTCGATGTGACGCGAGCGCGGCCGAGTCGGGCCGAGCGGAGCCGAACGCGCGGCCCACGTACTGGGTGGTGAAAAGGTACGTCGCGTCACGCGATCATGCATATGTATATGCACTATGTACATGCGCCGAGGGCGTCGTCGTTGCGTAATTCCCGGTATGCGACACAAAAGATGATTTAACGATCGCGTCATCCTGCAATCCGATGCGCTGCTACGACGCATCGGGGAAAAAAAATACATCGTCACGGAGATTGTTTATTACAATCACGCTTCTCGAAAAATACACCGATTTGTAAAACGCGCGTTCTCCGCGAGAATGCATGATATCAGAAAAGTACTCAAGTGTTTAAATATGCGTTCAAAATTATTTATGTATATATATATAAAAATGAAACTTTATTTAAAATTTAATTTTAAGATAATATTGCAATTAAATTGTTGATGACTATTCTATTAGAAAAATATGCTTTTAAAATTTGTTTCAATATTTCGGCAAAATTCATCTATATACTGATACTGATTTCTATACTGATACTATCTTATTTAGTTTTATAATAATAGCCTCATCTTAATTATGAATAACAAATTAAATAAATAACAAGCTTATCTACAATCATATGTATCTGAAATATTAAAATCATGCGATATATAATTATAATAAATATCCCCCCCCCTTCATAAAGATGTCGATTATTCCTTTTATATATATAGATACACTTATTAAAGATACGATTATCGAAAATCGTAAATTAAATTACCGCATCGCGTTACATTTAATTGAAAAAATATCTGCTACTCTAAAATCTCTCGTTCGCGAGACTTAATTAATGCGTTGTCGACCTTGATTCGATAATCGGAAGCAAATTACGTATTTTCGATCAAGGTAACTAGTCGATGTATGCAAAACTACTCCGTCATAGAAGCTCGAGGATAAAATTTTATAATAACTTGTAAGATTAAAGAGAGTTTGTGTTCCGCTCAATTATAAAATTTTCGAAATATTTAAAAAAATATTCAAATTGAATTTTACATGGATTAAAAAGCAATTAATAAAAATATAATTATATTTATAATTAGAATAAAAAAAATATTGATCGTGATAAAACAAAATGAGACATTAAATATCGAATCAAGAATTTATTTTTAAATAATTTTCAAAAAATTACCTTAAAATATATTTTTTTTTACGTGTAATTGAGATATTTAAGACGTGTAATCTACTTACAAAAGAATATGAAGTGCCCTATCTATAGGTCTCCTTTCCAAGTTAACATCCAAGGTGTGCTTTCGCAGCTGTTCTTCATTCTATATAAGGATGTTTGAATAAAACTGATGAAGCATGAAATTAAATCGCACTGGAAGATCATTAAGATTAATATTTGAAGAGGAAGTTTTCAAATGCTCTTTGGCTAATAAGTATTTTTTTTTACAAAATTCATAAATCTTGTATAATAAAGATATTAATGTTGAAAATATCAATAAATATTACATACCCTCACATCAGGTAATGGTTTATCTAACTGAAGGCTCGCAAACTCTTCGAGTTCCATGATTTATCCATATGATTTTGCTCCTATCTTTTGTAATTTTATATAACCTTATTAATATTTATCCTTATTGAGAACAAAAGAATCATTATTGATGAATATTGCAAGTTAATTTAACATAAGCAGAAATATAAAAATTATGAATTAAATAATATCTAAATTAATGTAGTATATTTTATATATTAAAGTATAAAGTTATATATTTTTATAACAAAGAATACTATATGTGCAATTTAAATTCAGTTTTATATAAAAAAAAAAAACTTAACTATATATATAATATGCCAATCGTGCTATCTTACACAATGTAAAATAACAATATTTTATTTTTATTTTATAAGTAGAGATTTCTATAACTTATCTCAGCAGGTGTTGTTATGCAATAAAATAATTATTTGTCTTTGAAAATATATTTGTCAATTTTACAAAATAAATTGAATATATATGAAACTAAGATACTTAAGATACTTTTAATAAATTCGTATTACGCTTTACTTCAAGTTTTATTAGACATATAATTGCAATTGTATTGATTATATACTCAAATATGTATATAATCTTAATATACATTGTATAAGATAAAAATAAGATGTTTGTGTATACTCTAAGTATTATCTATTTAAGCTCATATCAGTTGGTCATGAAACGAATATTAATAAAGCAAAAACAATCAATGTTAATATGTAAAATAAAATACATGTCCGAAATAATCATAAACAAATATTAAGAATTTTGTATGGAATACAAAATACATAATACGTCTGTAGAATAATCATTTGACTGTGAAGTAGAATAATGGTACGTCTATCTTATCTAGATTAAGTAACTCGATTTACATTTATTCTTTGTTTCAGTATGAAGAAAACTTCAATATACTATGAAAATAAACTATATATATATATATATATATATATATATATATATATATAATTAAAAATTCCTTCCAAACTATTCACTTATCAGTCATCATAGTTTCTGAATGCATTCTAATAATACTGTGAAGTTGTCCTTTAAAATAAAAGTTTGTTGACTAAATATTATTTGGTAACATTTTTATATATATCTCAAAACATATATTATTTTGATTTCATGTCATATAAATTGTAAAAAAAAATTGCAATATCTTATGTCATAGTCCTGCATTAATACGACATGTAATTATTTAATTTATAACACACAAAGATCACACATTAGTCACACGTATTTGAAAATTTGTAGCCATCTGTGTGTATAACAAGTGTATAACAAGTGTATGCAAAAACATGCATGGCAAGTTACACTGAGTTAGGTTGATTTTGGTTACATATCTTTATATAAAAAAAAATTGTATCTTGTATCATGGCACTGCATTAATATGACATATGTAATTATCTAATTTATAACACATTAGTCACACTTAGTTGAAAATTTGTGGTCACATCCATGTGTATAACAATACATATAATATGCCATCCATACAAATGTATGCAAATACATGTGTAACAAGTTACAACACTCAGTCACATCAGAAATCTTATAATTTAAGTATTGACTTTATAAAAAGAAAAATAGTAATATTGACCATATAAAAATAAAAAAGAACATATTTAACCAATTTGTCATTAATTGTCCTTTAAAATAAAGTTTGTTGACTAAATATTATTTGGTAACATTTTTATATATATCTCAAAACATATATTATTTTGATTTCATGTCATATAAATTGTAAAAAAAATTGCAATATCTTATGTCATAGTCCTGCATTAATACGACATGTAATTATTTAATTTATAACACACAAAGATCACACATAAATAAAAAATAAGTTTAATATATTCGAAGTCATTCTGAAGAGAAATTAGCTTTATATCACACTTGTAATACATTACAAGAAAAATAGTTTATTTTCTAACTGTGTACTTGGAGGTCGATGAAGTACTCGTCCCACTAAGAACGATAGCTTTTGCGCATAATGGCAAGGCGCGGGTACACGAACGGTACTTGAGCAATTATAATACATATGAGTTAATTTGTACGTTAGAGTTTGTATTTTGTCTGGCCCTAAACCACTATTATCGAAAATAATGTTGTACGAGGTTGGCGAAACTGTACCTTGTCTAATATTTTGAGAAACAAGGAAAAAATCATATTTAAACGGACTAGTTATAACATCATCAACGATTGTACCAATCGAAGGATTATTTCTGTTATTAAAAAGTCGAATGTTAATTCGTTTTGATACAATTACAAATACCAACTTGAAATTCGGACCGTAGTATAATTCTTCAAGCTTCTTTTTCAGACTTGGTACTTCATTTTCATAAACATACGGTATTTGACCGTCGCTGACTCCGTCGCGATAAATTACAAGGTGCATGGGTAAAGCCTTATTATGCATGCGATAAGCTTGCACAGCTTTGGACACATGTGCACAGAGTTGTTCTATAAGCTCTTCACTGCTGTGATATAAAGTAATAGTGCTAAAATATCGCGTCAGCGTTTGATCGACAGTTGCCACCATAGCCACTGTAATAAAAAAAATCGACATATAAAATTATTTATATGCATTTAAAATTTATGATTAAGCGAAACGTTATACAGAACAAATATATGAAATTTAGAGTATACAGTAAAAGAATAAGCTATTAATATTACATGTAGAATTATTATCTGAATATTAAAATTAAAAGCACATTTCTTAAAACAATATTTAAATAATCGATACTTACGAAAATTTCTGCCCTTAGTATTTGAATCGTGACATATATCGAAACCAATAGTCATTAATCCTTTTATTGAGTTTTCAATGTGCCAAGGTGCACCGCCCAATTTACAGTTCATCTGTATTGCTACTTTCGTAGCAATAGTCAGAGCATTTTTTCCGCATAAATTTTTTTGCAAAATAACTTGCGATGGTACAGGTCTATCTACACAACATTTCTTCTTAATTGCTGCATAACGATCACTGCGATTATTGCTCACTACACAGAGTATTAAATCCGGACTATTCTTGCTAAGAATGTCCTCGAGAGTTTCGGCATATCTACTTGACTTGTCATCGTATATTTGATGTACACGCGGCGGCATAATGTTGAATGATATTCCACACGACACTGTACTTAAATTTGATAAAAATGGCTGCAAAATTAACAAAATGAAGATATTTTATATTTAAAAAATATAAATCTATTTGATTTATACTTCTTATATTATCCCTTATATATTTAAGTTTCTATATATAATTATTCACCTGTAAAGATCGTTGATCTCGTTGGTTTATAATTAATACCCAGTTTCTCAATTCTCTAGGTTGATACATATGTGCTTGCTGCATTGGCCTCGTCCAATCTCCATTGAAACAGGGAATCCTGCTATTACGACCAAATACAAGTTTTTCGCCAGGTAATATACGAGCAGGAACATCAAGTAAATTGTTCTCTAATCGCAAATTCCAGCTGTTGAGTTCTTCTGTAACTTTTTCCACCTGACGAAGTGTGTTGTTAAACCTTAACAATTTCTCAACTCGAGCTGCAGCTGTGACACGAGTATGCGTAGCTAATTCTCTCATAAGGTAAACATTTTCTCTCATATTATCAGTTAGACCTATAACAAACAATTGCATTAATGCACAAAAAATTTATTAAAAAACATAAGAATATTATATATTTATTTACTGATAAAAAAATTTCTGCGTTAATAGTGTCGCAAAACAATTCATACAACATACCTGTAGCACGACACAATTCAGGAACTAAATAAACCAAGTCTCCTTGACCAGCATTTCTTGCCTTTGGTTTTGATCTTGTCACTAACATTGGTTGTGTGGCATCTGTTATTGTGATTTTATATTTATCTTTGTAATAGCTTTGATAAGTAATACTTTGGCCAGATTTCATAAATGTTGAAGAAGGACTTGTATCAAAATCCACATCTTCAATACGATATGTATGATTATTATAATCCGTAAGTACCATAATTCCAATCACATTGTTGCAGAATTCTTTCTGAAAATTTATTATATATATATATATTTAACCTTATTATTTCCAGAATATATAAATTTGTAAGATAATGTTAAATAATAATACATAATTTAGTAATCAGTGTTTATGCAAAAATTTTAGTTGAATATCAGATTAACATTATCCAAATAGATTAAATGTGCATAAACAAATCTTTTTTTATATATTATTTCTTTTACTTTACATGTTTAGCATACATGAAAATGATGAGTGCGCATATATTAATTTTTAAATTTGATTACTCATAAACAAAGTGAAATAAATTATATATTTAGATGGATTTTCATTTTGTTTTACAATGTCAACATTGTAAGATAAGTTCAGATTTATTCCTGAAGAAAAGAGTATATTTTGCATGTTAAATTATATCTTGTATATTGTCTTGTACATGTCTTCTATATTGTATATAGAACAAAATATAAAAATATAAAGCATAAAAATAAAAAGGTTGATGTTTATCTTACCTTATAATCATGACCGCGTCTGTAGCCATCACGTAATATATCTAACAAAGTTTCTTGACGCATTACTTTATGGGTGATTTCAGCACACATTAGAATGCTATTTTCATATTGTCTGATAGATGTAACATAACCAGGCCACAATTCTAGTCTAAACTGAGGTATGCTAACCTATAAAACATATATACAATCATTATTATATAAAAAATATATATAATATAAAAATGATATAACAATTATTGAATTTTTATTAAAAATATAAATATATCAGTATACATTTTTATTAACCTTATTTCTAGCGTCGTAATAATCACGGCCCACCAGTTGTAATTTTAAATATTCTAAGCATTTTCTCATTATTATATTAAAAAATTGTATATAATGCGGATCATCCCGCTTCATGTCTCCAACTAAACGAATAATGATTTTAACAGGTGTCTCATCGGATTTTCTAGTTGATACCAGTTCCACTTTCTAAAATTTATTTATAAAAATATTTTAATCATATTCTATTTAATTATTTATTGTATTAATATTCTATTTATCCGAATAATAATATAAAATATACTAAGTATTATACTTACGTCTGGTATACGGCAACTAGTATACAAAACTGTACCATCAAAAATATATGCACCAACTCTTTCTTTATGAAGTTTAAGCAAACCTTTTCGAATAAATGTTCGACTTTCTTCTGGTTCAAAATCAACTCGATATTTATAAAGGCTCCAATTAGGTACTGTAGGAACTTTGAAGTGATTTGATTGCAACATTATAGGACGTCCAGACGTTCCTGTAAATTCATAGAAATAAAAGATTAAACATTACAAAGAAAAATATAAATACTAGTAACTTCTTATATATAAATAAGTTCATTTTGTATATATGGTATATTAAAATTGTAAACAAAATTAAAAATTGATTCTTTAATTATAATTAATTAATAACATATAAATTGCTTTAAAGACTTATACTAACCACTTTTAGTTTTTAAATCAGGTGGTCTGGTAACATAAATAGATTCCATCTTACGTCGACCGCGTGTTTCTTGTACTGGACCAACATCTCCACCTTCTATAAATAATTATAGTTTTTTAAAATATTGTTGTCAAATTAAAAATATATAATTTTATTTCGCGCGGATCTTTAATATATATTTCGAAAAACTTTATTTTTTTTACATTTATTAAAACTATAAAACCCGTCACTCATAAAATTGACAATTAGAAGACATCAAGATCAAGAAATATAAGAGATTAAAAAATAAAATACCTTTTTTAATTTGTACTGGTTCAGTAGGTTGTTGTGAATGTGTAGAAGTACTTGCATCACTTTCATGGATAACGCTCTATTAAAAAAAAATAATAAAAATAAAAATGTATATAAGAAAAATTAAAAAAATATATGACATATGTTCACACACAAATATTTTAAATTTATTTTTTTTCTTGCATTATCGTGCATATGGATGCATTAGCAATATATATTTTAAATTTATATTTATAATATTAAGTATAAAGCAATGTATATTTAAAGTTAAATTATTCTAATATTGTTAATTACATACTAACCTTTGTTATGCTTTTCACTGAAGATTCCTGCAAAAAAAACATACATATTTAGCTAAAAAAATACAATTAAGGAATGCAATTTTATATATATTTATATATATTATTCACATGCTTCTTTTCTCTTATAGATAATAAATAATAGTTTTATTAAAGAATTAATTGAAAATACATTTCCTAAACATTGAATATTTGTTTTTAATAAATATATATAAAATGATTAAAACTTGTCTTAATTGATTTGGTATGATGTATCAATCCGCCAGTATAAATGTAAACCACAATTAAGTATGTAATCATAAAAACGACCAATACTGGACAAATAATTTCTTTATTGAAATCAAATTAACATGACGTTTCGACCTGTGGTTTAGGTCATTTTCAAATGCAGTAATAATTGAGATGACATAACAAGTACAGCGATGAGAAAAAACTTATAACATGTCAAATATAAAAATATATAAAATTAAACGTTGTGTCTAAGTTTAAAAAGACGTCTCGTAAATACAGAGCGTGTTCAAATAATTATTGTAATTATTTGAACACGCTCTGTATTTACGAGACGTCTTTTTAGACACAACGTTTAATTTTATATATTTTTATATTTGACATGTTATAAGTTTTTTCTCATCGCTGTACTTGTTATGTCATCTCAATTATTACTGCATTTGAAAATGACCTAAACCACAGGTCGAAACGTCATGTTAATTTGATTTCAATAAAGAAATTATTTGTCCAGTATTGGTCGTTTTTTATGATTACATACTTAATTGTGATATATAAAATGATTAGGAAAAATAATTATTTTTAAGAAGTAGCAAATTAAAATCTGTGAAATATAAATAAAGTTACAAAAAGATACTGACAATCTAAACAATGTCTACGAAAAATTAATAAAGGTCGTTTAGTCTGATCTAGTATATAAATAGTTCCATATTGACATATTAATATAGTTAGTTCGTAACACATTATCATGACATTACATCACGTCATGACCTAAGATCAAACAAGTAGTGGTATTACAATAATGCGGTATTAAGTAGGTTGGTATATTAATATTGAAGCACCTAATTTGTATTAATCTGTATTATTATTAATTTAATTATATATTAATTGTTTATAGCACTTGATAAGGGCCGAAACCCATGGCCGAAACGTCGTAAAGTTTAATAAATAGTATTTATAGCCAGATATGGTTGACGAAATTATTACCATTTATAAATAAAGTATATTATCATCTTCAAATAACGATTAACTTTGCAAAATATTTATATTCACTAATAATTTATCAATATTCTACTAAATATAATACAATGTAATACTAGATATTTAAAAGAACTAAATAAGAAGTATAAAAAGTAAATAGTGCTCAGTTACAATTTAAAATTTTACTTTATTCTTAAAAATAAGAAAAAATATGCAATTGTTTCTTTCTCATGATGTCTTATGTTACTTTCAACTTACTGATTCTGATCTAGAGTAAGGTTTCTTCCGATGTCCACCACTAGTTGATGGCCCAAAGGGATCAAAATCTCTATTTCTTCGCTGGGACATATCTTAAATTAAATAATTTTGATAAAATCAAAACACTAATAATAAAGTAAAATGTTCTTAGAATACTTTATCTATTATATATAAAATTATTCTCACAAATGTTAAAATGCATGTATCAATAATTAAAATTTTTTAAATATTCTCTTATAAAATCATGATTTCTTAATATCCTAATGTATAATATCTTGGAGTACAATGAACATTCTCCAGCAAGCAACATAGTCGAAACAAAGGATTTGTTCTTTATTGCTGCACTGGTAAACTAGCAATAAGTTAAAGTGAGACAAATGTATTTCACAAATTTGTTTCACTCTAACTTACTGCACCAGTAAACATTAGTTCACCAATGTAGTAATAAAAATAAACCCAGAGTATCATTTTATCTTCTTTCAACAGTGAACAACAAAGCTAGAATGATACTCTGTATCATACATTACTTGCTGCAAAACGCATAACAATTTATGTTATGCATAAAATTAAATAGATTTGATAAAATTCCAATCTGTCTCTAATTTTTAATATATAATAGTTTTATATAAAATAGAAAAAAATTTTTCATCTTTAGAGTTAGTTATTTATCATACGTTTCTACATACATATATGAATGACATAAGAATATAAGATATTTTGACAGTCACTTCTAATATATAAAAAAAATATATATATATTATATATGCGTCTCTATAATTCCTAATTCCAATAAGCTAACAATAAGATTTAATCGATTCTCCATACTTGTTTTTTAGTGAAACATTTGTCTACTCACTCTACTCAATCACAAAATCGCGTCAAAACACTTTTGTTCTCAATTTTAGTATACATTCAACAGTTCGCGCCTGATTTGTTTTCTTACGTAATACTACACGTGTTTACTTCAGCAACTTTGCAGTATCGCCGGGACAAAAAAGAAAGCTTTCGAGATGGAGACTTATTTACCTCAGATATTCATATATCGGATACTCACTTGATATATTTGTACGAATTCAGAACGATGATTTTTCACAATATATGCCACATTTATTCAGATATCTAGAAACCACCTGTATCCATGCAATCACGGCGCTTCGCGTGGCCTTCACGTACAACGTATAACGTATAATGTCTGTTTTATTTTATTGCGTTTCGTCTTCCGTGACGATGGCCAATCATCACTCAAGGATCGTAGAAGAAAGTCATGATTGGTCGGATTTTCAAATAAGTTGAGATATTTGTTTAATGTATCGAAACGGATTTATTACGACAGTTCATCGACCGAGATGCCATTCGTACGAGATATGAGATCAATGTGCCGCGAGAAACGGAAGAAATATATGACAGGAAGGACATTACGCGTGTAATAATGGATGAATTGCGCGTGAAGGCGACTTGTGGATTGACCAATCAACGAGCAGCGTTTCGCGCGCTAAACAAAACAAGCGTTCGGAATTTATAGATGCCAATAAACTGATAGCTCTTATAAAAAAATTAAAAAGCGATACGCCAATTGGCTACTACTCACTTCCTGCCACGTATATAAGCGTTTCCGCGTCCTGCGTGCAGAAATAGAAGCCATTATACAATATCGATCCGTTATTTATTATTTATATATTATCCTTTTATTAATTATTTAAAATATCGATTCCAGACGAATTAAATCTGTTAGAGAAAAATTTGTTTTGAATTGACTAAAAAATCCATTGTTAGATTTTACATCCGACAATAATTAATGAGATTATGTATAAATATATAGCCAAAATAATTCTGTATAATAAAACTAAAAGATATTTGGAAAGATGTCAGTCTTTCTATCTTATAAGAAACAGAAAAATAGATAAAAAACAGAATTAATTATACTATAAATACATATGACAAAAAATTATATATATATATAGTCAAATATATAAATCGAAAATAATCGTGTATAATGTACACGTGTGTATATATATATATATATATTTCAAATGTCATTGGTACAATATTGATATACATAGACATATGATAAATTATATAGATATATAAATTAGAAAGAAAATATAAGTTTTTTCCAAGAAAAATTTGCTGCGAGAAAATAAAAAATGTACACTATCATAGAATATGTTCTGTTGTAATTGACACACCGCTAAGTACTAGAATATTAACTTATTATTACTGTTAAAAGTTTATTCCAGACATATTATAGTATTATGTAAAATGGATCGCATTCTGTATGTATGTACATATAAGCATTGTGCATTTTCTCTTTGAACATAATAATGACGATATTAAAATAATGTCTTTGTAAATAGTTTATTTAGATTTTTGAGTTATACACAATTAAGAATCAGAATATTTAAGAAAGATCAATAAGAAATGCAAATATTCATTATTTTCAAATTATAGTTTATAATTTTAATATGATATTTGAATCTTTATAGCTCTAAAGCTGCTCAGATGTACAAATTTTATAATTTATTGTAAATTCACTGTCGAGAGAAAATGCATAATGTGAAACATATTTTATATACATCTATATAGTATTTGCTTTAACAAACAAAAAATATAAGAATGAGTTGCTTCAGCCTAAAGTTGATTTTTAAAGAGGAAAGGTACTGCTAGATTAATGAATATATTTAAAATTTAGTGGATTATTAAAGTATTATATATATCTCTACTCTGATATTAAAATAAAGATAAATGTGATATCATATATATTGTAGAAATTTATGTAAAAACTAATGTTTAGAGCTACCACTATAGTTTCAAACACAAAAGTCTATATTCACATCACAGGCTTAGGATCAAACATGGCTATATAATTCTCAGTTCGTGATAAAATTATCATCTTCATAGTCTACAAATAAAACTTAGAATCCCATCGCTATATTTAGTTCTAGACAGAACATTTGCATAGAGATATACATCAAATCTTCTCTACACATTCTATTCTATTTTTTATATTCAAGCCAATAATCCAGTTATCTCTTATAAGTTTTCTATAAGCACTTACTCAATTACTTACAAAGTTTCGACTGTTGTTACAAGACTGAGATGCTAAAAGTCTATCTTTTGTTTATTTTCAATTTTAAAGCTGACTGTACAAATAATGTATACATCATATATGTGGCATTTTTATCACGTTACAGATTAATGTTATTTTGTCTTTAAAGAATTTTGTGACAATTTGCAAAAATAATGCACATTTGTGTAATAAAATTAGTAATATAACAAAAAATAATACTATATAACGCTCTTGTAGTTTCTTAAATAATTATCTGTGAAAATAAAATTTAATATAAGAGTATAGGAAACATATTATAACAGTTCTAAATTAAGAATAACTCATATATATAAGTAAAAAGTTGAGCGACATCAATTCTATATGGATAAATATAATTGAGCATAGAACACATATTCTCTACACAAGTCAGTTTAAATACAATTTAAGTCTCACTGGTTTGCATTTACGATGGAAAGATTTTACAGTATAAAGTATATAAATAAAAATTATGTATTAAGCACATTTAACTTGGTCAGTTTTTAAGTAAAACAATACAATTCTTAAATAAAACTACATTTCGGAAAGAGACACACATTTCCAATATCTTTCTAAAAATAAGGGATACATCTATATATATTCTAATTTGAAAAATCTGTAATATATTAGTAATCTCTAAAAACATGGCTCAGTTTAAATACAACAAAATGATAAAATATATAATATATAGGATATAGATTATTATTTTATAATGCTACAAGAACTTATCTTTATCACACACATTTAACTTCCTATAATATTTACAATTTAATCAATTGGTTAAATTGGAGAAGACTTGAAACACTTGAAACTAAGTGAAAGAGTAAAAGGCTGGTGTTATATATATATACATATTACTTTTATAATAAAATATATACTCAATAATAAAAAACAACTACTTACATTTATGTTACAAAATAAAGAGGAAATGAAATATATTCTAATAACACTTAAAATAATAGTGATTTTTTTAAATCTAATTTAAATATCAAAAAAAAATATAGAAATCTGTTATAATGCAAATTACGAACTTGAAGTAATTCTTTGTATAGCAGAAATAATTTATATAGACACCATAAAAAGAGAAATTTTAATTAAAAAAAATTTAATATATCACGAATTTATTTTCCATTAAAAGAAAAATTTAAATTATCAAATTTTTAAATCTTTTTTCATACTGTTATGTAATATAATCATTATTGTAAATAAATCATATTTTTATTATAGAATATTAATAAGATATTATTTCAAAAAAATAAATAATTACGTATTATTCACATTGTTCACTGCGCCATAAAATACAGACTATTTTAAATTTTGACCATTATGCTAATATTTATGAGAAATATACTCTTTAAATTATTTTCATATTTTGTATACATATATATATATATATTTGGTATCTATATTCAATATTTTATTACTCTGCTATTACTTTTTTTTTATAAGCATTAAGTTTGTTCCTGCTCATTCTTTCATACATGCAGCACCTTTTTGTGAAGATTCGTTCTTTTTCAAAACAAACTAATTTTTATTTTATTCAAGAAACAAATCTATGTAATCAAAATAGCAGCGGATTTGTAATATATGTAACAATATAATCATACAAGATAATGCACAGAAACAAATGAGAAATCATTTTTCTAATTCAAACAGAAAAATGTTTCAGATAAATTTATAGTTTTTAAAAAGAAAAAAATTAACGGTTTAAAATTAACCCTTCTTTGTAACAACCTTCCTCTAAAACAATTCAAACAGAAAATTATTTAGATGATCTTGCTTGAAATATTGTTCTATTATTCTTATTAAATTAAAATGATTAGAGATATTGTGTATCTGTATATTGTAATGCATAAAATAAAGTATATAAAAAGATGCACCATCATCAAAATAAACTTACTTCTCAAAATATTATGTATATACATCTATGTATTTTCATTTTCTTATCTAGAAAAAGTTGCATATCACAAAACCGCTGACGTATCTTTCATAAAAGACAACTCAAGAGATAAACTATTTTATAAATCTCTTTTTCTTACATGTGTATATATATATATGTACTTATTGAATAAAAATATTTGAATAATGCAATAGTTAAATATGATTTTTCTTTACTATCGTTAATTTGATACTTAAAGAGAAAGCTAAATATGTTCAAATAATTAATATTCACAGCATGCAGCAAGTACTACATTGGTAACTCACAGAAACTATTATGATAAAAATCTTATAACTTGTTTTCTCAATCATTACTTTGAAATATATGATCTTTCATATTAAACCATTGCTGTACGGATATGTTTTATGGCTAAGATTTTTTCATGCAATTTTGAGATTGCATAAAAAGAATGAAAGAATGTCAGGACTCATAGATCAATCGCTGATAATGAGGGAATATTTCCCACGTTGGCAGATGCAGACCAAATTCTAAAGCTACTAACACAGCAAACTCGGATGTAATTAAGTCCTTGCGATTTAAACGGAATACACCTTCAATTCTCTGCAAACAGGAAGGATAATTATTGCATATCTAAAGAGAAAAACTTCATTATATTATATAACGCAAAATATGAAAGTACCTCAATGAGCGATTTAAGAATATCACCCTTCACGTCATTTAATTTTGCCGCGAGAAGTAAACAAGCCCCAGCGCATAATTTGCGTGTTTGTTTTGTTACAATATTTCGAAGAATAAGCTTCTCAAAGTATACATAAGCCATTGCAACAGTCAATAAGTCAATGCCGTACTCTAATTTAGCTATTTTTCTCATTTCCCGTTTCAAACTGGAATAAAAAAATAATAGTAGAAAAAGAAAAAATGAAAAGTTAAGAATATATATTAATAATATACTAATTGTATACTAACCTGCGAAGCTTACTGAGAGTAAGTTGAATATGTGGAAACTTTTCCTTGAATTTATCGTTTAACTCTTTTTTCAAATCGGAAGGTCTTACATAATCGATAACAGATGCCTATAAATAATTAGTATAATTATTATACATAAAAGTATTTGAGTTACATGTTAATTCAAATGTATAAAAATATTAATTAAAATATATACCATGTATGATGTAAACGTTAATAGCGTTCTATGTTTTCCGGCAATAAGTTCTGGATCGTCCAGTAAATTTGGATTATATTGGGCAGATTGCTCATCCCACTCATAAACTATAATAGTATGTAATAAGATAATTATATTAATATTGTACATTAACTTGATAAAAAATTTAAAGAAAAACATTTTTTTGCTCACCTTTGGAATCGGTACTGAAAGACAAAGGTGGAGACTCAGAAGTTATATAGTGAGTCCGATTTGTAGCTGTATCATAAGATAGACACCTAAAATAAAGAAAAGATTAATATACAATATAAAAATACATATTTTATTTTCTGGCATGCAATATACAATATGCTCCAGAACTATAGTATTTCTCTTTATACATAGATATTTATAGTTTAAAAAACAATATATATATAATGGAAGTATTTATAAAAATTAAAAAATATTATTAAATGTATTAAATTTTTGAATAAAGAAATTACATAATTATAAAAATTATTATAAAAATGTATTAATATTCTGATTAATTCCTTTGCTAAGAAAAAAAATAAATTTATTAAAAAAATTGAAAAAGTGTTAGAGATTTGTGAAATTTTGTATATAATAATTGTATATAATATAAATAACGTATACAATAAATATATATATATATATATATATATATATATATATATAAACATGCTGCATTTTTAAAATACTTGCAAATATAAACAACTTTTTCTATACATACAAAAAGTAAAATTATTCTACAATATGTAAAAAAATGTATTTTCCTATATAAATAAAAAATTGTATGTTTTTCTCTATATGATATACATATACAAATATGTTGAAGAAATGACCTGAGAAATGAGTACATATAAATAATAAAAATTTACAATATATACAATGTGTTTACTGTTAGATACTACATGTAATAATGATAATGTAATTTTGATGTATTTAAAAAGAAATTAATTTAAAAAAATTTTACATATTATATGTATGTTAAAATATTAAACAAAATTATAATATATCATCTATATTGAATTTTTATACATTAGAACACAGGGAGAGTAGTGTTATATCTTTTATTTATAACATGATTATGAATGACTTGATGTTTGAATCTTACAACACATCTTTTGCAGAATTATATAATATAACGAGATTTAAAAAAATAAGTTTGTAGACTCTCTTATGTCTGTTGTATGTCATATATATGTTGTATTATTGTATGTTTATATATCTAACTAATGCTTTTCTATATATCTCGTTACACATATATATTGTACAATAGTTTTTACCATTTTTTGTGATCCACATTCCAAGTAATTGTTTTTGTCCTGCAAAAAGATGGTTGATATGTTTTGTTATAAAACAAATATATGATACATGAATGCATGTACGCATTATTTATAATACTGAAAAAGATGAAAAAGATGTCTAGATATAGTACTGCATGAGTTATGAACGATTATTAAGATGAGAAATTCTTTGCTAAATAATGAGTTCCACACAGCAATCGAATTTTACTGTCAATAAAAATTTGATGATAAATATTTACAGACAAATTTGTCAAGTATGCAATAAGAGCTATAGGTATCATATATAAAGATAATTAAAAACATTATATATATAAAGAAAATTATAAACAATTAAACATATTATGACATTTTTTTAAGGATTTTCATTGGTTTACTTAAAGCTTATCTAAAAATTTAAAGAAGGAATTAAAGGATACATTAAAAGCGCATAAAAAATATATCATTTTTGTGTATATACATAATAAATTCAGTTATATAGTTTGTGTCAAATTTTACATAAAGAAAGAAAAAAGCTATTATTAGTAGAATAGATATTTGTTATGTACCTTTGTACCACGTGATGTTTATTAGGTATAAAGTGCGTAAATTCCATAGCATCAGTTTCATTAATATTCAATTTCTTATCCCTTTGAAATTGTCTAGATGGTACAAGTAATTGCCCATAAGATATTTCCTACACAGAATTAATTATTTTAATAGAGATCATTTTCACTATCACAAATAGTTAGATAAAATGAATAAGATATCTCTACTATATATATATATATATACACACACACACATACCTGGCCATCTTTAGCATGTTCTATACCCAATAATCCAAATGGATCAATACTGTCATTAATTGCTGATAATGGTCTTTGAGACGATACATTTTTTCTTCGAGTTGTATCTTTACGTAATTCAGACCTGTAAATAATATTGTAATATCCATGTGAATTTCATTGAACTGTAAATTAAATTAAATTTTATACGTGTATATATTCTCAATATAATTTTATATATATATACATTATTAAAAAAAAGAACATCAAATAAATTAGTGATATTCTGATTATTTTCAATTTTGTATACTCAATCAATACGTTAGGCAGTTTTAATACACAATAAATTCATTATTATCATTATAAATTAAGTTATAATAAGAAATTTAGAATAAAAAAAAATTATATATATACTTTAGAGTCTTAAAGTATATATATTCATGTGTATTAGAAGAAATAAGTCTTTACCAACTGGAACGTTGTCCTTTGTTATATGGAATAGCAGAAAATACTACAAATGGTATATGCTGATTTGATACCAAGACCAATCTATCATCTCCAAATTTGCAGTCATTCACAGGTCGTTGCATCAAACGCAATTCCTTTGTAACTTCTGGTATTATGCTACTATTTGTAGAAATAGGTTGCACACTGTTCACTGCCTTTGTCTTTGGTTTTGATAATTGACCTTTCGAATGTATGGAACCGATGCTCTCGCTGCTACTATTGTATTGATGCTTAATATCTTCTGAAAGCGTAGATGTTTGATGACTTATGCGCTTCTTATATTGTAAAGAGCCCACACGTCTTTCTGGTAAAGAGTAGTCACTTCCGGTAGTTCCGGTTCTGAAAATGCACAATTTTGTATCAAGATAAAACAAATATAATAATAAAAAAAAATATATATATATTAAAAACTGTATACTAAAAGAATTTGTATGATTCTATTTCTATATATATAGTTAATTTAAAATTAATTTTCTATTAATAAAAACTTAAATGTCATTTTATAATTTTTAATTTTAAATATTTTTATAACTGGTTCATAAAATGATATAAGATTGAATAAAAAGTTTAATAAACTTTGATCATCCGCATTTGTCTTTCTAAGTTTATTTCATATGTATGTATGTGTATTAAATACACAATATTTAAATTTTTTATTATCTAAAATTTGATCTATATTTTTGTAAAACAATTTCTGAATGAAGAAATGATGTTACATTCTGTACATGTAATATATCCTAGTATGCATGCAATGAATGGAATGCAATCAAGTTTCTTGATGTTTTTCGTTTGTGATATTGTACGCTTTTGATAATGTTATCTGAATCCGTAAGTGTCATTCAATCCTATCTGTACCAAGAACGTCTTTCACAGATGAAATACCATAACACAAAGATTTTCACATATCTTTAATATTTACATTTTTTTTATTATCAAACAAATATTTGAAATTTTTGAAATGTATATAATTTATATTATAAATTTTTCTAATATTTATAACACGGAGTAATTATTACAAAATACTGTTTATATATCAATTTTATTACAAAATTTGCTACTTGAACTTTTAAAGTTAGTTTATATACTAAGTTAATTTAATAATGTATATTATTAAATATATGTATATATATAGCAGCTAGTTTACATTTAATAAATTATTCGAAATTATCATAGGTCATCACAATATACTTTTCAAGCAGATAAATTAAAAAAATAAGATAAAAAGTTAGTAATTTAATTTTGATAAGCACACTATCACATTTAGAACAACAATTGTTTGTATTCAGATCTTAATGATATTTTGTTTTGTGAAAAAATATATTAAAAAAAATTAAAGTATTTATATATTTAATATATAAATATATTTTCAATTATTGTTAGAATATTATAACCCTTAAAGGAATTAAATAAAGTTTATATATTTTCAATTATTACTGTATAAATCATCAACTTTCTTCATATCATAATATCACTATGTTAAATTATATCGATTCAATTATATCTACTTTATTAATTATATCGATATAATTATATCTACTTTAATGAAACAAAAAATCTAACAAAGAATAACAAAGATACTTGTTTGACAGTTATCAAAAGAGTCGTAACATAAGTAAACATTTAATTTTGGATAAGATTGTACAATTGAAAAAAAGGATGGAAGAATATTCTAGGAGAGTGTCTCGTTTGTTGTTATTTGAAAATTTGTTTATTCTCGCAGACTTCTTTCTCTGCGTAGGTGATGACCTACTCTTGAGTATAAAGATAAGATAAAGTTTTTCCACATATCTAAACCAATAGACAGCTGATAAAGCAAACATTTACCGTTCTCTAAACGAACTATGCATGCCATAAGACAATTGCAGGTGATTCCTCTCCTGCTCTAAGAACATGGTAACCGCTGCCTTAGCAGGTGTGAGTAGTCCATCCGAATCAGAACTGTAGGAGTTATGATCGGTGCCTTTGTGCACTAACTGCGGTGAGTTGGTTTGCTCTATTGTTTCATTTTGCGACAAGTCATTGGTCTCCTCTTCTGGGCAACCGTCTAGAACCTCTTCCATGGAGACCTCACCGATGTCAGTATTCTGATACGCTTCAAGCACCATAGTCTCTTGATCTGACTGACCATCGCTCAGCGTACGCTCGTGAGTCGGTCCACTTTGTGACAGGACAGCTAGCTTGGTGTCCCGGTGACTGCCGTCAAGAGAGATGTTGGAGAGGAATGTAAGGGCGGCCAATCTTCTGCGTGAGTAATTTTTCTTTAAGGCCGCTGCCATTCCACGAGAAACCGTGTCGGGATACCGGTGCCAAATACCGAGTTAAGTAGTGATAACGTGCGCCCGATGACGATGGCGACGATGACGACGACGACGACGTCGACGACGACGACGACGACGGTAACGTCGACGACGACGGCGAAGACGACGGCGAAGACGAAGACGACGATGACGACGACGACGGCGACGGCGACGGCGACGGCGACGACGTCGACGACGACGGCGACGGCGACGGCGACGGCGACGACGACGACGACGGCGACGACGACGACGACTTTACCGAACAAGGACGACTACTAGGATCACAACGCATTGTCACTATTGATACACTTAGTTCTAACATCATCAATCACAATCGCGGCCGTGCAGCACACGTAGAAACGTGAACCGGTATTGCTGATCATCATGTCGTTTCCTCTAACGAGCCGCTTCACGAAACACACGTTGCCTACCGTATGACTTTACCTACTACGCAACAGCGCGACCCATCCTCCCGCCACCACGGCGATGAGCAGCGCGAATGTAGAGGGGAGTGTATATATATATATATATATATATATGTATACAGGGTGTCCCATTTTAATCGATCACCCCTCGTAAATTATTTGCAGGGAGCGGTCGCGGAGAAAAATGTTTCAGACAAAAGTTGTAGGGTTCAGATAGGGTCGTCTGATGGTGACCTTGAGCTTGACCTTGTGGTCAAGTTTGAAGGTCATTTAAAGGTCAATATAAAAATTTTAAATTAAAATTCCTATTTCTCATATATACATATATATATATATATATATATATATATATATATATATATATATATTACTTAATTGTAGCTCAAGAGCTTTTCAAAACACTATAATATAAAGTATTATCCGAGTTACAAGGCTTGATAATTTAATCATTATCAGATAACTCCCTCTGAACCCTACAACCTTTGTCTGAAACATTTTTTTCTACGACCGCTCCCTGCAAAGTTGGGATGATAAATTAAAATGGGACACCCTGTATACATATATATAGATATTTATATAAGGGAATGTTATGTCACAGCATTCTCCATGGCTAGACAGCGGAAAGGAAATTCAAAATTATGTTTTAAAATTAGAATGAAATATATTGAAGCAATAAAACTGCATTATAAATAAAACTTGGATTATATGATAATTAATTATATATATATATATAGATCGCAATAGCGCGCGCACATTATGAATGATACCTAAGAATCGTTTATATATATATATATATATCTTGAATATATATATAGTCTGGATTAGATAAGAAATGATGGAATTGTGCTGTGCACTCGAAAATTGTATATATTATTGCGCAGTTTTTTGACACGTGTATTGTATATGCATATATATATTTTACAACTGTTTCTTATCTTATTTTTTAATGGAATAGAAAATAACGATAAGCTGTACTCCTGTTTATATATAAAACAAGAAAGGAGCATTTGTTGATCAAAATCATGCATGTATTCAAAATAGATGTGCATAAACAGATATAATCAATATTATATTTTCAATATCAACATAAATTCAATTAATTAACATTTTATCTTTTATCTTTCAAAACAGTTGATATAAAAATTCAATAATTTTTTTAGATAATTATCGAGTCACACTGCATGTAGAAAATAATATTAATTTAATAAAAAACAATTTATCTCATAGACATCATATCTTGTAAGAGAGAAACTCGTGTAACTCTTCTATTATTAACTTTATAAAAAGACTTCATGCGCACCTTCTATCCCTTTATGTAAGTCTAATAATAGAAGAAGCATGCTTGCTAATTATATCCGATACAAGAACCTCGAAGAAGATTCACAAGTCGGAGAGAGAAGAGAAATGATTCACTACTTATATTTTCAAATAGGCTTATTTATATACAAATTTTACATTTCGCAATCTCTTTCATAGGTGTGATAATAACATAGTATTACTGCAATTTAGTTTATATGTTTATTTATACAATAATCTCATTATAATAAATTATATATATTTTTTTTGAAATATATATTTATGTACGCGTGTGTACTCTGAATATTCATACAGAGTGAATTATGAATTAACGATATCATTGCATCAAAGATATTTCAGATATAAACACATTATGTGTATATATATATATATGTTCACGATTCACTTTGTATATACATACAGAATGATTCTAAAGTAAGTTACCAAATTTTAAAGATACAGTCTGTGACCAATATGGAATTTGTTTTTCTTTAGCAGAAATTTGATAAAGTATTATCTTATTTTTCATACGTAAACTCTTATTAAATTTTCTGTTAATTGTATCTTAAATAAAAAAGAGAAAGACGAATAAAGTTTTGTTTCATATTCAAAATTTTTGAGTTTTAAGCTTGAATAAGTAAATCGCTCCAAGACGATTGACATGCTGCTTGCTAAGAAAAATCGATTTTTAAATTGGTCCAAGAATACATCTGCAAAGTTTGATGATCTATTTTAGAGTCCTATTGTACATATATGTACATATACATACGTTGCATAGAAATAATGTTTGACACAATTTTGGCAAATAGATTGGCTAGGACAAGGACTTATATCTTTACGATATACACAAGTTAATTGCAACTCTCTCATCACGTACACACGTACATACACACACACTTCCTATTTTTTGATTAAAATTACCACCAAGCCTCTATATCTTAATTTTGGACTTTGCTTTCTTGCACTTACAACTGCACCATGTTCTTGTTAACAGATAACTGATTTTGGATGGAAAAGTTGATAGAAACGGCTTGGTATTATAAAAGATCGATTTTCATCAATCATAAGATAGTAATTAATACATGAAGATATTCGTTAATTAATGTTGAGAGAAATCAAGTAACATTAAATGCACTAAAAGTTTCTTCTAGAAAAATACGAAATTATACGGAATTTTTAATTTTTTTCTTTTACTTTTTTTTATTTCTAATGATTATTATCTTTATGGCAAAGTATAAGAACCACAAATTATTCTTATTTTGGATACAAAATATATTCCTTGGTCCCACGGAAATAAGACCAGATTAAAGTGCCTATAAATTATTGAGTCATAAATTAATTTTCTCGAATATACTTCAGCAAAAGTATGAAAATGCTGTTACAATTTTGTATTTACGTGAAAACAGTCTGCTATCTGTTAACATACACAGCTCTTTTTATCAATCTAATATTACAATATCTCTTAATAATCTTATCTAATAAAACGCGTTTGTCTCACATTTAATATAGTAATAGTATAATATATCATAAATATACATATGTAGGACATTCTAAAGAAAGATATGGATCAGCAGTGATCTTGTGGATACATGTAATTTTCTCTTAGTGGACGTTTAATCAAATTTTAACTAATTAATTAAAATTAAGTATTGAAAAGATTAAGAAAAATCAATAAAAATAAAAACAAATATTGAACAGATATTGAGATTAAACGAGAAATTCTATTTACTTTCATAAAAAATATATATAATTTCGTTACTGATACATGCCTTTGTTAGAATACCCTTTATATACATATATAGGTTATTACAAAAGTTGAGTATAAAAACATCTAAGTAGAAAAACGATATAATATATATTTGTTAAAAATGCATGCAAATAATTTTTGTTTTAAGTTTAATAGATTTTTAAATATAAGAATTTTTTTACGAAAATTACTTGAATTAGTCAGTCATTTGAAAATATCGTAAATAATGGTGATCACGCAAAACGGTTCTTTTTTTTTAAACAATTTACGAACATCTTAAATCACATTTTGAACTTATATTTAAAAAACTATTGCTTCGAATAAAAAAGAAAAATTATATGCACTTTTATAATTCAATTTTGTGACAATTTTTTTGCTGCAATGTTTTTATACTCAATTTTTATAACACTCTGTATATGTGTACATATATATACATACATACTCATATTTATATTTATATATAGTAAATAAAACTCTTAAGCCCGACGCAATAATTCTATATAAATACACTGATTTCTTTAGTAGGTTGTAGTACCTGACAACATTTTCCTTTCAACGAACGCACAGTCATATTTAATGTCATTGAGCTCATATCATTACAACAATGATCGCTTTCTCTTTTGTTACATTGCAGGTATAAATGATAACATAATATTTGGAATAATTTCCATTATCTGCAATGTGGACCATCCATAAGAATATCGACATATGTCTATATGGCATTGTATAGACATAAAAGGAGAAATTCCTTTCGAATATGCATTTTTCTACTTGCAGTTTTTAACATTTTTTAAAATAATTAACAAAACGAATAATATAAATACATATAGTAAATCTAAATATTATCAAAACTACAATATATAATAAAAAAAGATCCCGATTATCAAAAATGTGTTCTTGAATCATGAATAAACGGTTTTTTATTCTTTTATGTGTATTTTAATGCATATAAATAATAAATATATTAACAAAAAAATCATAATAACTTAGAACAAACAAACATTAATCATATTTCACTTATTCTTCGGTTTGCTTTGATGATAATTTATTTCACAGTATGTGCTATAACTTTTATATTATATTTTAACAGCTCGTGTAATAATTTGTAAATAGTTTAAACATCACGGGAAGGGAAGAGAAGGGCTATGTGATTTCGCGTTATTTACATATGACTTCAAGATATTACTCAATAAAGTAATATCTTGTGCTTCTAGGACTACTAAAAAAGTAGTTGGCATTCATACTACATATTTCTAAATAAATAATTAAACAATAACAAGTTGTGATATTTTCTTACATATACATAGCGCATGTAGAATCACACGCTACGTGCGCCAGGCCATGGTATATTAAATTCATCTAAAAAGTGTTATATTACAAATTATATATTGCTTAACTGAATGGAAAAAATATTAAGTAGGAATCTTAAACTCTCTTATTGAACTACTTGGATACATGAAGATAAGATCGCTTATTTGGCAACAGTTTGTCTAGATATTTCTCCCTTTATGCCGCTGAGCACAAATCTAAATATGTTGCATACGCAACGCATAATATACATATATCTGAGTGACAAAGTGCTAAAATTTGTAAAGAAATAGATACAAAAAATAAACATAATCACAGTTGGTTGGCAGGTTCGCGAGCGAGCGCAGGCATGATGCATCTGGACAGGCCCTTTCGACGCAAATATCTCGGTTTTCTTTACATGGTTTTATCACTTGGTCGATATAGTACTTCAGTAGCCTGTTAAGCCCTCTGCGTAAAGACAGATTGTATCTTAAACATAATCGTTTGTTCCAGGACTTGTTAGTGGTTCCTGAGCCTAAAAAAAAGTAAAGATATATATTATAAAATATCGTTAAAATATTTTAAATGTTAGATACAATACACCATTTTTTACCGATTACATTATTTAACGGCTTCTAATCCATAAAATTTATAAGAATTTTTCAAATGAAAACAATGTTAATAGATATGTTTGAGAAAGCATTATTAATTTTACCTCCTCTCCAACTGTTGCTGCGGGGAGCGGAAATCTATTTTTTTCAAGACTAAATTGATCCTCCGTAGTCTTCCTGTAGACAGGATTATCGAAGTTCATACTAGTGACATTACGATGAAGATAATGCCTGTAGCAGAGTACTGCCACAAGTGCGAGTAGAAGTAGTCCTAAGGACACTACGCCGATCACAATGCCGGCGACTAAGCCAGGATCTGTTGATTCGGTTGCTAAGTTTCTCTTTCCATCTGCATCTCCTGAAGATAATGGATCTAAAAATAGTATATTAATTATATAACTTTAAGCTTAATATAAATCATCAGAATGTTGTCATATTACAAATTTGAAGAAATTCTTCTTTGCTTTAGCACATTCATTAATAGAGTTAAAATAGCTAATTAATACAAATTTCGTAAATTCATTCTATAACAATGTACAATTGTGTTAAGAGTATAAGAGAAGAATCTAAATAGGACTAACAGCATTCAACTAAATTATATTCTTATACTGTAAAAAAGATACATGCACAATATATGGCATACTCATATTATGCAAAAGAGTTCATACTTAAGATAGAAGTGTGCTTAGTAATACTACCTTTACGATTTTGTATTATATAATTAAAAATGTATATTAATAACATAAATAAATAAATAAATAAATAAATAAATATATATATATATATATATATATATATGTATATAAACTTATCAATTATATACAGGTATTCCAAAAAGATCGGAACACTGAAAAATCTCGAAAAATATACGTTTTACAGAAAAAAGTATCAGACAAAAGTTGTAGGGTTTTAAAAAATATTTTTATTGAGTTTATCAGTTTGACCTTCAACGGCGTTACAAGGTTAGCATAAGGTCACTTTGAATTTCTTAAATGGAACCCTGTATTTTTTATTACATATTCTTGTAGCTTATCTCGAGAGCTTTTCAAAACACTATAATTAAGTTATTTTTCATAAGGCACTTTCCGAGTTACAAGACTTGAAAGTTATACTATCTAACAGCCGGCATTAGCGTTATTTAAATGGGAAACCCTATTTTTTACTTCAGAAATCGACATAACTTAATTAGTTTTTTGAAAAGCTCTCGAGATAAGCTACAAGAATATATAATAAAAATATAGGGTTCTATTTAAGAAATTCAAGGTGTCCTTATTCTGACCTTGGTAACACCGTCTAAAGTCAAAGATAATAAGATCAATAAATAAATTTTTTTAAATCCTACAACTTTTGTCTGAAACTTTTTTCTATAAAACGTATATTTTTCGAGGTTTTTCAGTGTTCCGATCTTTTTGGGACACCCTGTATAACCAATAAAATCTGTTGAACAAATAACAAGTATTAATTTGATAAACTGCTTTAGATAAGTTTTCTTCTGGATTCGTCTATTAAATATCAAAATTAATTTTTCTACAAAAACATGAGTTTAAGTAATAATATTTCGCTATTTTTTATTTTCGATATTAAATATCCTTATAACTTATTTTTAAATTATATATTTATTAAAATTGAAATAAATAAGATTTTAGTCTCTACGCTTCTAAAGTTTAATTCTTAAAAAGTCTTTCAAGCCTTAAAAAAATCTATTTTTTGATATTTTTGTTAAGGAAAAATTTATTTCACATTGTACTTGGAATAAAATATCTTTAAAATAATTTTAAGATATCTCCACTAGCCTTTTATTTTCTTAAAAAGAAAACTTTCACTAAAAGTTTCTCTTAGATTATAAAATTATGCTAATATGTTTTAAAGATTTTATGAAACACCCAGCATGAAATATATCCAATTCAAAAATGATATCATGAATCACCGTGAATTAATGAGTTAATTATAGTAGTAAAGTTAACTAAATGTCTAATATATCCCAAAAAGCGCATATGTTGAAGAAAATATCATTCAACCATATGTTAAAGAAAATATCATTCAAACTTACTGAGAGTCGTAACATTCAGAGGCGTGAGCCTCTGGAACGGCATCATAGCTTCCTGCGTAGTTGGTGCTACGATCGTAGTAACTGGAATATCCCAAATTCATGCAACACGATTGCAAATAAATAAAATGGTATAAATAACGAGCTCAAACATCTTCCAATTAGAAAGCGCCCGCGCATCAATAAAAATTAAATCTTTATACATCTTTGATAGAGGATAATCGGTTTTGTACACTAGAAATTCGAATGTATACATTCGAATAAATACATCTTGTAACATACACTTTGTTTGTTCGCATCCAAGTGCATTCGCGCATTTTTATAATACTTTACTCATAAATGTATATATTGTCGCACATGCAAGATAATTTATATAACAGTTTTATGAGAGATTAATGATTATATGCATATGTGTGTGTTATGCATGTAATAATTCCCGAATATAAAAAGTCGAAAAACTTGAATAAAAAATTAAAACGATATTTTGTACACTTTTCTGTATCATTTTACAATTTACATAATAATAAGCGAAAGTAGAAATGCGCTAACGACAACATGCAACACTCTCTGAGAATATACATATTTCATTCTCATCATATGCTGTGCAGCATAAGATCTATAAAAGAATGACGAATAGCTTTCCACTAATCTATTCATTTAGAAACATTTTGTAATACGTAACAATGCCATTCCAAGTATTTGTAAAATTTCGTTTAAAAATCGTTATTCTAAACGCGATTTAATATGCAATAGTCAACACATTAATTTATTGGTATAAAATTAATTTATTTGTTTCTTGCATATCGATTACTACTAATGAAACGGTTAAAAATTGCACAACAGCAATGATTCAGTGTTGGAAAGTCATTCGTCAATCGTGATATTTCCTTTGATATTGACTTACCATTTTCCACGCACATCAATCCATCGGGTAGTAACCGTAAGCCGTCGGGACAGGCGCATGACAACAATGGCGATCTGGAGTTGATTTTAGGTGCTGGCAAACACAGATGACTGCAATGCCCATTGACAGCCTGACACTGATTCATTCCATCGGGTTGTCTATAAGGATGATATACATGGACTACCATCGGATGTTGAAGTGTTCTGATCGACGTTACGGCTTCTACTTCCTTCCCAGTAAATTTGTTAGCTTTGAAGATCGTTTCCTTGTCCCAGTCGGTCCAGTATACATAATCTTCGAAGGTTGTAATACTGAAGGGATGCCTGAGATTATTTGGAGAGTATAGAACCGTTCGTCTACCCGTTCCATCGTAATTGCAGGAACCTATGATGTTCAACTTTGCATCTACCCAATATACTCTCTTGCCGATCAAGTCTAGAGCTAAACCATTAGGCCATTTGACGTCATTGCCGACAATCACCTGCAATAGATGCCTCGATGTTAGAAATAACACGTTCGGAAAATATGATCAATGTACTTTATTAGTAACTCATTCTTTTTGTAAATTACATTCGGAAAAAACTTTATTCGAAAAAAAAATTCTAAAAAATGCTTAAAGTAAAAATTAAAAAAAATGTAATATATAATATGCACACATACAGATAAAAAAATTTGTTCTTTAGTTTAAATAAATTAATTTGCATAAAGTGTTCTTACATTGCTCAGGAAGTTTTATAATGCTGTTAACATTTTTCAGTATATATACATATTATTTATTTATATACAATATTATTTATTTATATTTCTAATCAATATTATTAATTTCTATTTCTTACCGATCGATGAGTGCCATCCATGCCAGCTCGTTCAATGCGAGCCTCGTCACTCCAGTCTGTCCAAAACATCCAACCTTCCAAAGGATTCAGAGCTATCGCCCTAGGTTCTTGAATGCGATCTCGTATCAAAGTCTTTCTCATATTTCCTTCGAAATTGGCCAATTCAATGGTATCTTTTCCAGAGTCTGTCCAATAAATGTGACTGTAGATCCAATCGACTGCCAATCCGTCCGATGTAGTGAGATCATTTTCGATAACAACTGTGCGCTCATTTCCTTCGTCTATTGGAGCTCTAAAAATATCATTAAATTATTGTATTTGTCGATTATTAAAATAGCTTTTTGTAGTTGTAACAATTACAGCAATTACAATAACATACTTATAAATTTTCTTTTCGCTAATATCACTCCAGAAGATCATCCCAGTGCGGAAGACAAAATCCAAAGCTGTTGCCATTTTTGTATTGTTAACGATAGCAGTCATTTCTTGACGGTCTAGAGCTACCTTTCGGATATCATGCCGACGGGCGAACAACAGACTCGCGTGACCCTCTGCAGCTTTACAACGCGTAGAGTTCCGCGGATCTTTAAGATAACCATTGGCACAACTACACTTGAAGCTGCCCTTCTCATTTTGACAAAACTGGGAACAGCTCCCGGGTTCCAAACATTCGTCAATATCTGGAAGAATAAAATAATTTTTTTTTATGCGTTATAAACACAATTTGAAAAATATGGCTGATACAATAGCTACAATGAGAATCGAGAAGTTTTAAGAAAGAAAGTCTTAATATCTGAAAATGCAATAACTTCTTTCTTACCATCGCATGTGCGATTGTCGATGAGTCTATAACCCGCGTGACAATCGCATCGATAACCAATAGGCAGATCAGTACAAATCTGCGAGCATCCACCATTGTTTTTCAAGCATTCATTCACTCCACAAAGCGCGGTGCTTTCATCCTCCCAACCGATGCAATCTCGGTTCTTGTTACAGACGTTCTCTAAAGGAATGCACGAACCCTCGCTACATTCGAACTGAGTCCGTGGATCGCAGCTTATTATTTTACTTGTGCAATTTTTCTCGTCGCTTTCGTCGGCGCAGTCGGCTTTGCCGTTGCAATATAAATGACCTGAAACATACGAATCGTTAAAAATCTAAAATATATATGATGATTGTAATGTGATACGATATATTTTTTGTTGAAATCCGAGATAAAACGATTGAAAACGTTATTCTACAATAACTTATTAATTTTCAGAATTCGATATCCTAGTATAGATATAGACTCATCAAGCTGAATATAATTTAATTTGCAGTTATTCTATTCATATATGGAATACGCTGTCATCAATTAATACGGATTAATAATATATTTCGGTCATCTATTATTAGCAATCATAATATTAATAACGACGATAAGTACCTGAAATACAAGAACGTCGATCTTCGCATTGAAATTGATCGAGCCTGCAGGTGACATTGTGACATCTCTGCGGAGATTCATCAGCACCATTCGGGCAATCCTTCTCACCATCGCACACCCAAGTTTGGTGGATGCAAGTAACGCCATCGTCGCAATCAAACTCCTTGTCGCAATGGCTAATCTTTTGTTCGGAAGTTCCTAAAAAGAAACGATAATTATTTTTCAAAAGAAATGATCCGTGCAATCATATAAACTATGCAACAATTTTCTCGTCAATATTTTTCTCTCTCCCTTTTTATTTTTCACGTCGATACAAGTGTACCAGAGTGCATACTCAAATCTTAGAAATAAATTTTCTGATTTTCCAAGTACTTTTGTTCAAAATTTGAGGTAAAATTAAAGTATTTTAAATAATGTTTAGAATACAATTTTGAAATAAGTTTATTTGTTATACATAATTTTTAACATAAATAAAATATTTTTAAATATAATAATATAATATAATATTATATTATGATAAAATATATTTTAATCTATACTTTATATAAAACTAATATCAAAAGTGCAATTTTTTAAAAATTCCCTGAGTTTAAATCAAATTCCATGATAATTCCAGGATTTTTCAAGGTAGAACAAAATTCTCTGAGAATTCCAGGTTTTTCCAAAGAGTAAGTATACCCTGTGTACGAAGCAGATAAAAATAGCACAAGAAAGAGCTACCTTGCATCCTATCTCGTCGGATCGATCAGGACAATCGTAATCACCGTCGCATCTCCATCGCGACGTTATGCAATAATTCTCGGAACACGCGAAATCAGTTCCAGGATGACAAGTTGTCGGCCCACAAGCTTTCTCGTCGCTGTTATCTCCGCAATCATTATCGTTGTCGCACACCCAGAGCTGCTGGATACAGTGCTTATTCGCACAGGTGAACTCGTCGGATCGGCAAGTGTCGTCTGAGAAAAAGATTTTTTTTATGTGAGAAAAAAATGCAAACGACGTAAATTTATTTGCAACAAAAATTCTCTTTCGTTGAATGAGACATTGATTTTCACATAAAAGTAGACATCTGATCTCAATATAAAAATATAAACTCAATGAAATAATTCTCTATTTTTTTCAGTCAATGATTGAGAATAACAATTGCAGATATTTACGGCAGACTTTTCTTAATACATATATCACATATAATCTGAAAACGAAAAACTTATTACACTTAATGAAACAACTACAATTAATACACGCATCAACATCCGCGTTCGGCTCTTAAAGCCTTTCTATCATATGTATTATTTAATATTAAGAACCTGATAGAAATCAGGTATAGTATGTATCGATCACAGTATAAGTATGTAATAATGTTCACATAACAATTAAAAAAAAAGATTATATGACAATTATAAAATAATGCAACGTCACATTATAACATAACTATACCCAAGATAGTCTAGAATTTGATAATGTCTTAGTTAATAGGACTCTCTCTTTAACTCTCCAATACTTACACTCTGAAGTCAAAACTTAATAATATCAGCTAATCCGATAACCTTTCGTGATGTGCGTCTTTACTTAATTCCGCAGTAACTTTAAACTTTTTGTAAAAAAAAAAAAAAAAAGTACATTATGATAACGGTTTAACTAATCATCTAATAAATTTTCTGTTATAATTAGTAAAGCTTTCTGAATTTGACAACCTACCAATCAGTACATTTAGTTTATTTTTAAATTGTATACATATATTGCAGATTATAATTTTTGTAAAATTATTTTGTAAAATTTTATTAAAATTCTTCCAAAAAAATGTCTCAAGAGAGGTCCAATTTCACTTATTATGTAAAATATATAAACATTATAATTTTAAAATAATATGAAACTTCTCGAACTTTAAGTTGACCATATTGGATACAGGTTTTTAATTATTAATTATCTTAATTAGCACATTTAAAATAAATCATTGACTGAAAAATAAATTGTAATATTACAGCTTTTACATATCAACATATAATTTAGTAATGATGCAAAAATATATCAGAATAAAAATGATATAGACGTGCAGCTTTAACATAACAACTTGTGCACAAATAGAATAAATTAATCGAATCAATCAGATTTGTATCAAAAGCAAAAATCACATTTTGATTGTACTATTACGAGTTATATAATCGATTACTCGCGCTTTCGATTTCCGCAAGGAATTAGAGAGCTTCGAATAGATAGCTACTCGTAATTTCAAGCCGGATAATTATCTCCTCCTCGTTATGCGATACGACTCAACATCCAATAAAAAAATCTACCTATTAAATTGCACTCTCAAGTATTTCGATCGGAAATTTTAATAATTAACTGAGAAACAATAAGTGCAATAAGATACTTACAATTATATCATCAAAGATACATAAAGAACATAAAAGATAGAATTATATAAAGCACAACAATTGATTGTGGATATCTGTTTTTGACACGATAATTTCTTTCTTTGGATAAGTTCGTTTTTACGTCAATTCAATAATTATGAACGAATAAAAAATGAACGTATCGGATAAAAATAATAAGATTAAGAATATTACAAATAATTTGTCTATTTTGTGTATAAAACTTTTTAATTTTTCGTGAAACAAATATTTTTATCCACTATCTATTGTTGTAAATCTTAATTCTATTAACCGGCAAAGTAGCAAGGAAAGAAAAATCGGCAAAAATCAACACGGAAATAGCATCGACAAATAAATGCGATAATTGTCATCATAAAAGTATAAATAACGTAATTTGTGTGCAATTCATTTTAAGGATAAGATAAAACCTGCGACGTAATATGTGCAACGCATTTATGAAAAGTATGCAGTTTTAAGTGCAGCTTAAAGCGTGACTATTTTATTATGACTATTTTATTATCACGTTTAGATTATTTCCGCTCTATTCGTATTTTAGTCATTACACAAACCATCCTCTTACTTAGACAACCTTCACCACTAAAGCGACTTTATTCCAAATAAATATTACGTGATATTTAAAATTTTATAGTTGCTATAGTTTCACAACTTTAATATATTTATTATAATTTTCACATGTATTTTATAATTAAATTTAAATTTGCTTGTATTTTTTTCGAGATAAATTTTTAATTGATTCTTTTAACGTGCAAAAATATCTTTCTCCACCAAAAAATATTAAAAAATTGCGAGTTTAAAGTTTCAGAGAAATATGTATAATATATTTTATAAAATTGCATGCGTGAGTATAGCAACTAATAGTTCATACATATATAAAATTAAAAGTTGACTATTCATCTCTCGCGTATAACGTGCAAGATACAAAATATACAACATATAGATCTCTAGTAAAGACAGATAACAAAATGCAAGCTTATGGAAAAGGTAGTCCACGTGCAGAAGCTTACTGCACTCAGCCTCGTCTGAACCGTCCGAACAGTCTGGGTTGTCATCGCACATCCATGTTAATGCCACGCACTCGCCATTTCCCGAATGGCATGTGAATTGTTCCGGCGTACAGCTCTTGGATCCTAGACAAGATGACAATTGCGATTGGACCACTTTTAAACGCGAATGTACACGAAACCCGCGAGATGAACACTGTCATCAGTCGCGATGGACTTCGAAGACTCGGATTGCATCCTTGCATCGAGTGCACAGATAAAAGTACAAGGAAAATGTATAAAAATAAGCGTCATCAACAAATTGAGAATCTAAATTCCAAACCATCCACACAATTCCTCCAAATCCCAAGAAATAAACATTAAATTGATCACTTTTTCCTAGTATAAAGATAAAAATATAATAAAGTACGAAATAATATTATATGCAAAAAAACATTATAACTTTCTATCGATTTATATAAAACTAATTTTACATAGATCATGTTTTTAGCTTTACATTTTTGCATGAAAATGTGATTAATTTAATTTCAATTTTCTTGGGATTAATATTTGGAATTTACATTTTTAATTTGCCATATACGTGTTTTTTAGTTTTCTACGTGTAAATTTACCCCATTTTTAAAACCCCACATCTTTAATGAGAATTTTCAATAATTAAATAGCATGCGCGCAAAACAACGCCCGTATAAAAGCACACACAAATTCCAGCAATTAATTATCGAGATGGATTTACAAAAGGTGATTGTTACGTTTCGCAATATTAATTTTTGCTACATCGCACCTTATCGCGCCATCGATCCCATCGATTAATATATTTACGCATGCAATTTACTGATTCTGAAACCTTCTAGAGTATTGTTACGTGAAGCAATAGACCGCATATGCAAGGATGCAATCTGCGATTCTGCAATTTGCACTTTGTCGTTCGTTCCGTAGCTTTCCGATTGATCTCCTCCTTGGCTGCTTTCCGGTAATACCTAATCTAAGATACTTATCCGCGCGACTTACTGTGACAATTCTCCTCATCCGAACCCTCGATGCAATCTACCTGGTGGTCGCACACCCAGGACTTCGGGATGCAATCGCCCGAGCTGCACTGGAATGCATCCGTTTCGTTGCACGGTAGCGCTCCTTTTTTTCGATTCAATATTTCCGATTAATGATTTTTACAGGATAGGAAGCGTGCAACTCAGAAGACTTGAGTTTCACATCTTGCGGATGCTAATTAATAAATGTCGCACGCGAAAAGACAAACTAAGATATTGTATATCTGTACACGGAGAGAATTTTTTCTCTTAGAATTTACTGAAAATCATAATAATCGTGAGACAATATGGCATTGGAAGAATTTTAAAAGTTTTTCTGATTAATATTTACCATAAAAAATATTAATAAAAATCTATATATATATATATATAATAAAAGAAAAATTAAAATAAATAAAATAAAAAATAATAAAAATATAAATATTTACATAATAAAAAATATTAATATATCCATAAAAATTTTAAATAATAAAAAATATTATTATTTATTTTTATTCATATACGACCAAACTGGCTATGGTTACATAAAAATAGATCACGACGTTTCGACCATTGATGTCGGCCCTTTTCAAGTGAGCTCATAATAAATGAAAGAAATCACGACCCCCTGAGAACTCCGCAGCAGAATTTCCTTCACACATATTAAAGATTGTCAAATATTAAAATATAATAGATGTTTCGAAAAGTCACTTTACAAAGTCAATTTAATTGCGAAACATCTACTTTAATATTTGACAATCTTTAATATATGTGAATTTATTCACATTGATATATTTAATTTATTATAAGTTCACTTGAAAAGGACCGACATCAATGATCGAAACGTCGTGATCTACTTTTATGTAACCATAGCCAGTTTGATCGTATATAAATAAAAATAAGTAATTTTTATCACTGGCGATTCAAACTTTTTTATTTAAAAAATATTAACATAAGCATAGTAAAATTAATCGACATATTTCATATCTTATTGTGGTAAATATTATATGTGGTAATCAGAGAAGCTCTCAGAGAATATTGTGCCACGATTATCATGATTTTCAGAGTAAATTCTAAGAGAAAATTCTCTCTGTATACATATCGCCTTAATTTGTATTAAAATATTGATTTTTTGCTTGCTAATATGACAGATAAAATGTTGGTATCGGAAACATCGAACATCAGAAAACAAAGCGTCAATGTTTTGATATCAATGTCTATACAGTACACTATCAGTGACGCAATAAAATAATCTGCTCTTTGACACTCGATGCATTAACATACCATTGTTTTCAGATTCAAGTTGGAATAAAATAAAAGAGTTATATACACTTGCGATCGCGTTTCATATGTGACAAAACGTGCTGATGGTAATTCTTTATTTTGTGAAATAAATTGCTATAAATAACATATACAGAGTGTCCCTCATCAATTTCCCTTATAATTGTACTTTTTGTACGAATTTAAATCGATTTTTCTTTGCAAAAATAGCAAGAGAATTCACATTTATCGCAAAACGTTTTAAATTTCAACATATCATGTATCTTTGTGTAACTAATCCTCAAATTAAAATTCTATCAATGTAAATTAAATCTAAATTTAAGAGAAAAATATAACTTTATTATTCATTAAAAAATACCCATTAGAAATAAACTTATTCGTTATGCTGTCGTTTATTAGGTAAATAGAAAATGACAATAAACGGGGAAATAGTTACATAACAGTAGATGAAATGCAAATATACACTTCCCCCACTAAAAAAATTTAATTTTTTTTTTAAAAAGGTTATCGTTTTTTTCTATTGACATTATGATATACGTCACAATAATGAAACTTGATTGCGTTTCTCTACTTTATAATTTGTGGGAATTTTTAATGATCTGCAACGCAATTTACATCATAATTGAAATGATTAAATGCACGCATAATTATATCGGTCAAAAGGGCTTTGCTGTCAGCACATATACACACATATGCACTAATTAATATTAAATGCACATTCCGCTACGTAATTATGATCGCCTTCAACCTTCAAGGATCGATAGGATACAATTAAACTAATCGATTATTATTATCAATACTACTCTCATGAAACATGACAGAAAGAAATATGTAAATATATATAATTGTGTAAAATAATGAGCAATTTACAATTTTAATTAAAAAATGCATATTTTAATTCGCAAGAAAATTTCATCAGATAATATAATCAGTAATAATAATAAAATCGTAATTCCATAAAAAATAGGAAATGCCCTTATTACTGAGGAACACTCTGTATATGTCAATATATTTCACCTGCTGTGAAACCGGTCTTTAAAGTTGCACTTTCACATACCAAAACCTTTTACAGCCGGGATGCACTATATTCGGCTAAATACTTATTCTGTGTCAGATAATTTATATCGAGAATGATTTATAAGAAACTAGCAATTTTCAAGTTTTTCGATATTTTCAAATAGTTGCAACTTAGTAAATTAAAAAAAGAAACACACGATGTTACACGAATAACGTGCATAACATTTTTCTTATAAAATATTATTAGAAAATATTCAAAGGTGTTTTTGTCTTTTCGCCCTGCTTTTATAAAGTAAAATTTATAAAGCGTAATTAATAGGTTTTCATATAGAAACCGTAAATTACGTAAATTACGAGTTTCATGTTTTTACACATAGATGCATATAAACATTTCTCAAAGGAATAAACGTCGTGTATATTTCATTGATACAAGAGTGAAGAGATATTAATTTCATATCTATCTTACTTTAATATAAATATTTAATTTGCTATGACGAGTTAATTTAAATATATTAGCTTAAATATTAAATTGGTAAATAAAAATCAAATTACAAATATTTTTCTTCGTGTATTATAAAATTAATTAGTAGTTTTAAGTCTCAAAACTAAATCTTCTGGGAAACTAACTAATTTCTTGGTCTCCTGCATGTCTCAATGAAAATATTATAAGTTAAGCAGGACCGAATATTATAAGGATGTATAGAAGATAAAAGTCAGATCAACGCAATTCATCTTATAGAAAATCGATATAGTTTATATTTTTAACGTAATATAATCGATTAATAGTATATAATGCATTTTCATAAGATTATATAAATTGCAATTAACTTTTAAATGAGTTGATGAATTAAATCCAAATTTTAACGGTAGTTGTAATATCAGAGTGGAAACACTCTATATAAATTTTTATTAAATTTTGTGCCATTTTTAGATGTCTCCCATACATCCTTATGTAAAATATTTACATTTGCAATTTAAAAAAAAAGATGAAACTTACTGCAAACTGCAGGATCCTCGTCGGCGCCATCCGAACAATCTCGGTCGCCATCGCAATGCCATATATTCGGTATGCATCTGCCGTTGGTGCACTTGAACTCCGAGTCCTTGCATTCCTGGGTGTCTGAAATGTTCATATGGGAATGAGCGACGGCGCCGATCGGGATGATAGCCACGCACGCGAGCTGCAACAGGATGCACGTGAGGGATGCATCCAAGAGGAAGGATGCATCCAAACCTCTGCCACGGAGTCGCATGATCGCGAATTTTTCTTATCTGTCCGAATATCGCGCTACAACTCGATAAAATCCCGCAGTGTTTTAATAAAAAATTAATCCTCAGACGTCATTTCATTTCGCACGAGTTTACAAAATTATATATCACTGGTAAAGCTGGCAAAGAGTCTCGTCCGACTTCGAATAAGAAAATGTTCGATGCTTCTGAATTATTGGAGCACTACAGAAGAACTCATCGATCGGCGCTGTTACTTCATCGTAGAAGTTTCGTCAGAAAGTATACGCAAACGATGTAAGATTACAAGCTCCGGGTCAGCGACTGACGCGACTGGATACTCTCTCGATGGTGGCCGGATTCTGTAAGGCCGGAGTCTGGCAAAGGGGTCCCTATATAAGGGGCTTGCTACACATGCGGTGGTGGCGGTGGTAGAAGAAGAGGAAGAAGGAGATAAAAACACGAATCGAAGCCGTGACTGTTGTTCCTTATTACGCGTTTAACACGTTTCTTACGGTTTCCCGATTTGCGGGGAAATCACGTACACGTGTGCGGCAAATACCTAATTATGCAAGAATTATGCGTGGATCCTGATCGGTTTGGACTATCTTGAGAAGAAATCTGTGACATATATAAAATTTAAACTATTTTTTAAATGATCATAACTTGTTAAATAACATTTTTAGCTATCAATTTCATCAATTATTTATACATGTAAATTTCCAAGATGCCAATGCAACATATACCTAATTATGTGAGCTCGTTTGAGTCCTGATCAGTTCGGACTATCTCGAGAAGAAATATATAAAATTAAAGACTATTTTTTAAATAATTATATAACCTCTTAAATAACATTTTAGCTATCGATTTTATCAATTATTTACATATGTCAATTTCCCAGATGCCAATGCACATATGAACCTAATTTTATTACCGCTATTAATTACATATATATGCCAATTTTCAAGATACCAAGTCAGATAAGTTTGATATAATTAATAAAGCATGTTGTGAGAAAAAGAGAATTACTTTTTAAAATAAAATCTTTTACACGCAATGGCGAAGTACTTTAATTAAATAGAGCGACAAATAACGTAAATATAAATAAGAATTAAATTATCCGCACGTTCGAAACTAATCGAAATATGTATGCAGCACCAACAAGTTAATACATTCGGCTTAGAATATACAGTTGTAAAAACACGATAACCCTGACCGTTTCTCATTCTGCAAAGAATAAGAGACCTGAATTACCTTTGAAATATAAAAAAAAGATAATGCGGCCTTGATTGCGCTTAGTTTGTTAATTCTGTTTTAATTTGTTCTAAAATACTTAAAAAATCGCGCTCATTTATCAACCTTTGTTTTAACAAGCTTTCCAAAACTGTTAAATATGTATACATATATGTATGTTAATTTACTGCTCTGCCCTCATCAAGCGTATATTTTTTCTACATTTTGTTAAAAAAAAAATAAAAAATAAAAAAAAATAAAAAAGTGGAACTTCTATTTTGTAGATAAATAATAACGAAAAATATTAACAAATAAAAAAGTTTTAGTCGCAAGTGATGATAAAAATTATTTATTTTTATTCATATACGACCAAACTGGCTATGGTAACATAAAAGTAGATCACGACGTTTCGACCATTAATGTCGGTCCTTTTCAAGTAAGCTTATAATAAATTAAATAGATCAATGTGAATAAATTGACACATATTGGATTGTCAAATATTAAAGTAGATGTTTCGCAATTAAATTGACTTTGTAAAGTGACACTTTACAAAAGCGATCGTGATCTATTTTATTATTGTGATCTAATTTATTATAAGCTCACTTCAAAAGGACTGAAATCAATGGTCGAAACGTCGTGATCTACTTTTACGTAACCATCATAGCCAGTTTGGTCGTATATGAATAAAAATGAAAAATATTAAGTATGTATTGTGTGCATCCATTATTTTATCTAACGCAAGTTTGCAAAATATTATACGTTGCAAGAAAGCCACATAAAAGCAGCTGGGGAACAACTATCTTGTTTCTCAACAACTTGCGAGTTATTCCTCGTAAATTTATACGGCTGCGTATCTCTGTAAAACTATCATGACATTTAAATAATTATATCCATTTCACTAGACTTTTCACTACTTTTACGGCATTATCAAAGAATTACGTAAATCCGGATAGTCTGCCTGTAAATATATCAAAAAGAAATTTATGTAAAAGATCTCAGACATGAATTTATAAAATATAAAATATCGTTACTTATCAAGCGTTCTTTTGGGACGCATATACGACATAACACGAACTATCTACAATGATAAGACAAGGGTGGCATCGATAACGCGGTCACATATGGCCAGAAAAATACAAGAAGTAGCACAACGAAAGATAGCATCGAACTCAAGAAATATCAGTATATATAAACGAAAGCATTTTAATTAATTAATTGAGCACAAGAGTTATTTATCATCGCATATTTCTCGATTTATCGTGAATTTTCAGTAACGATCGCATTTCTCTCTTTCCTCTTTTATATTTTTAATATTTTATTATAAAGATATTAAAAACACACACAAAGAAAAAGAGAAACGCATACAAAATATTCTATAAAAACTAAATCAACTTCTTGAAGAGATTTTTTTGGATATTTATATTCTCTAATAATAATCTAATCCTAGAAATATTTTTTTAAACAAAAAATATTGTTAATTTTTAATACATATATAATGTTATATTTTTTAATGTTAATATAATATTATAATGTTAATATTTACACATTAATATTATTCTTTAAAGTAATATAGCCATTAACTATATAAGATGTTTATAAATCTCGAACTTCATAAATAACTAAGCACTATTATCTTTACAACAATATTTTTAAAGGAAAATAGTGGAAAATATATATGTATAGTAGCATGACAATAAATAACAGAACGTAAAATTAGAAAATATTGTACTCAATATTTATAAAATATCGTTTTTAAAATAAAAATAGATCAGACAAAATTATATTATTACAGAAGAAATGAAAGAAGAACCTATTTTGTGAACATTTCTGTTAAAAAAAGTTTTAAATGCGTGAAGCAATGAAACATAATAATGCTTTTCGGCCAAACAACTAAAGTTGATCGAAGATCTGAACGCTTCGTTTGCAGAAACATGATTCTGAGATATTTGCATCTAAAGCTTTTGACACATCGAATGTGGATAAATGAATGCCATCGTTCTGAATAATCAATATGTCTATAAAATAGAATATACATATTCCATATAGATATATGTATAAACTATGCAATCGCGGTATATATATATATATATATATATATGGCAAATGGTAGACTCTCGTTATTCCATCCTAGTTTACTTTTATTTATTTAAAAATTCGTTCGTATAATAAATGTCGTGACTCGTATTTTGTTTCTTTAAATAATGCATCAAAATATTTACAATAGAAGTTGACTATTTCAATCAACTGCTATTTCAAAAATAAAAAATATAAATATGTTTTTCCATCAGAATCCTATAGAACATTTCTCTTAGAAAAATATCGACTATTTAAAGTCAACAATTGAGGAATCACTATTGATTGCTGCACATGGAACAAAAATAGCCACCATAGCTAAATTTTAGTTGTCCCTATATTACAATCTGAAATTTATCTAGCTACAGCTAAAAATATTAATTAATTATTATGCCTAAATTTTAACTATGGTAACTAATATTTTTAGCTATAGAATTCTCCATTAAACTATAGCTGAAAATATTAGTTATCATAGCTAAAATTTAGATATAGCTAAAAATATTAGCTATCACAGCTGAAATTTAGGTATAAATAGCTAAAAAATATTAGCTACCGTATCTAAAATTTAGACATGATAACAAAATTTTTCACTAGTTTTGGTAGCTAATTTTTTTTTCGTGACAGATATTGCACGTGTGCTATAAACACACAAAAAATCGAAGCACAAAGTGCACATATTGGCATGGACCGTTAAAAGGTGGGATATGCACGAGACAGGAACGCGTCCAGTTTCTGCTTGTAAGAATCTCGTTTCTGATTAAGAGCAACCGTCTCTCGTCATTCCATTTTCGCTCGTTTAACTTTCTGTCCCACGACTTAGACTCCAGCTTTATTAACGATCTCTCGATCATCGAGATATCCCTGTGGATCGATTATCTCTTTTCTAGATTCGCTGATATTGCACGTCGAAATGTATAACAACTCTATTGATACCGACAATTGTTACCGAATTTAATGACTCACGATAAGAGATCGTTCAAATTTCAACCATATTAAAGTTTAATAAAAATAGAAAAATGATTGATTTTCCAATTTCTTTCAAACTGATATTCTTAGAAACGAAATTTTGTATGAAAAAAATCTACATTTTCTCGTTTGTATTAGCAGTTAAGGAATATCTGTACTTGTAGATTAAAAAAATATATTGTATAATAAAAAATGTTTCACGGGATCATTTATTATATTCATGCTAATTTGTTAGTCTCGAGTGGCAGCGCAACATTTAGATATAATATCTAGGCAATTAGAAATTTGACATACATACGCACACACAGAAAATATCTTTTACTTTAATTTACTTATAGTTGCGACTGATCAACCTAAAGCTCGTCCTATATTTTTTGCTTTTGTGAAAAAACCTGAACAATTGATATAATATGTACGGAGTAATTTTGTGATGTATGCAAATACAAAATTACCCCGGAAATAATTTCGATATAAATATAAAATTACTCCGGAAATAATTTCAATGTAAATACAAAATGGAAAATCGCACGATATGAAAAATTAATATCACAATTATGATTTCATCTCGTTATTTGTATCCGAAATGCATTATATCTGTTGAGAACGAAGAGAAATTTCGCG